TCCCAAACTCAAATTTTTTTCTCTACACCTAGGCCAGCTCATACAACCGATAGTACGACGCTCGATCTAGAAACTACTATAAGCGACGGCCTAACGGGATAAGGCGGGTGCAACACTGTATACACATGTAATGTTCTGTTACTACTCTTCCAAATAACCCTACACATGGCTGTTTTAATATAGCGTAGTTTGGCAAAAGTTTCGCTCTTATTTGATGTCATCACAGAACAGCTTTTACAGTGTCCAGTATAATAATACAGAAACCGTGGAAGCGTATGAGAGAGGATGAGTTAAATTACGAAACACTGTTGGCATTGTTTAACAAACATTCTAACATATATATATATATATATATATATATATATATATATATATATATATATATACACTTATGTTAGCTAAACTGTTTTCTATGACTTGTCAATAAAAAATTATTATCTGACTGACACCTTAATTGCAGACATGCATTGTCGTCAAAGCTGTGAATTTAGCTGATGACGCCGATTGCTCTAACCCAAAGAGGTTGGCCGGCAGCGTCGGAAAGATCGGGAAGTTGTTTAGTTCAACAACACTCGTCCGAATGATAATAGCAACAACAAAAACACCCACCAGATAAGCCAAGAATAACAGAATATGTTCTGTATCGATCACTTCTTTCCTTCACAAGTTTTTTCCGTTATTGCAGAAGATATTATAGTTGCTAGGCGTAGAGGCGACAAGAAGGATTCAAGTACCCAACATGAACTGATATGCCAATGTAGGCTAAACGAATATCAGCGCTGGTGTTGCCAAAGTGAGCTCAGAGCGTCGAGCGACTTTACAATGGACTCAGGGACAGAAAACAGCTATGAGTCTTGGCAAAATAGAAAATTGTAGCGGCGGTGCGAGGGATACTGGCAATACCAATGTGACAAAAACCAGTTAACAATACACGTCGGAAGGGCAAGTCAAGTCGCACAAGTATATGGGACAAATGAATCGAAGCGCAGCGCCCAAACAAGCAAATAGTAATGTCCCATCATAAGTAGTAAACCAACGAGCACAAATAAAGACTTCAGATAGTCAACAAGATATCGCGATAAGTTGAGTTTTGGGCTCAGCAACGAGGCCTAACGTTGACGAATGTAGATCAAAGAAATAGGCAGAGTTCAATGATATAAGCTACAACAATAGGCGTCAGTAGACATGCTAGTTTAAACCCGACCTCAGGAACGAACCGTTCAGAAGCTTCAGACGATTGCAGTTACATGCCGCATGATAGTTTGGTAGGTGATGTACTTACCTGCCAATCTTAAGGAAAGGTTATGGTTTAGGTTCGAACCTGGGCATAGACATAGTTCATTTCGCGCTTGGAGCCAGCCGTTCGGTGAAATGATAAGCGGCGATACCGGCCGTATACATAGAGCTCGCAACATAGAGAGACGAGTGACATCTCTCACTTTGAAGTGAAACTTAACGTAGTTATTATGAACTGAAATTTTCTCGCATAGGAGCTAGGCCTTAAGCCAAGCACAACGCCATCATCATACACGGTAGAAAAATAATACCCTATGAAAGTAATAAAGCTATCGAAGCCATTGAATTCTCTAGCCCTATTTTGGACTACACTGCTAGCACTGAAATTGGATTTAAGCTTTTATTACCGGCCGGACTTACTTTCAATTGGGGCATGTGAATATACAACTATAGAGTGATAATTAGATTTGACTAAAAGCGTTTTGTTTATAGCAACTCTGCTTTCTCGTTGATATGCTAGCAACTTTGTGAGCTATTTAAGGCTCTCTGGCTATACAGCCTCGTGAAAGTGGTGTGACTGGTTGCTAGCAGGGTTCCGAAGTCGGATATTTAATCATCCCATTTCTACAATTATTGAAACAGCCTTCTTTATTTTGGCATGTTTGGTGATGTTTCCATTGCTTGCTGCTTTACGGTGTTAATGGCGCTAGGAATTTTTAATTCCGAAGCATCAATCACGTTCTTATGTTTTAATTTACTCTTATCCGCCTTAAGAGCATTAATAGTTCATAAGATTCCTGTATTTAATATGCTCTGTTATCACATCCTATGCTAGAAAACCACTTCTATATATATATATATATATATATAAACAAAATTGCTTTACAATTACCGATATAATAAAAAAAATACCATCTACAGAACCCTGGAACCACATATAAGTCAGAAATGCCCTTGGGGTTAAAATACATGACGCTACTTTAATGACGCCGAGCTTAATACGAGTAAATGGATTCCTTTACAACCAAATAGGTTAGGTACCTTTGAGTTACGCCATAAATGTTAAACGTTCTTGGCTTGTAACTTTTACTCGGCCTGTAGTAGGAGTAACTTTACTCCCTGTTTTTTATGTACTGCAACGTTTTTATTATTATTAGTGGTAGTAATAATAATTTTTCGCGTAGGGAGTGGGTGGTTGCCGCTTATCCCTGCCATTGCAATGGAGGTGTCGTCACATTGTTCGTCACGAACTTCGATACTCGGAAGGCGCCGACCAATGCTCCATACGTTAAGCAGCCAATCCATGTGTCTGCGTCGTCAGAGACCTGGCAATAAACGGCCTGATGGAATAACGTTATTTGTTTTTACCAGGGGGAAGTTCCGGATTTGGAACAACCTTATGACCGATTTTTCAACTGTCTTATTTATCTATCAGCCGAGAAGCAGCACTTAAGCCATACTGCCAACTTAGCGGAAGAACTCAAAAACAGAAAGGATGTAGCCCTAACAGGTGACCACTATCACCGAAAGTTCGAAGCTTTAGGCAGGCTAGGTTTTTTAGGCACACCGATTTTTAATGCGAAGGTTATCCTAGTACGTGCAAAAAGGTAACGTTCCTTTTCTTTTCCGCAGTTGAATGATGCAAGAAAAATGACACTTCGTGCCTGAGGTGGCTCAAGGGAGTAAAATTTTAAAGCGTTTTCAATAACGCCGCTATCATCAAGTATACAGAGTAGGCCAAAAATACCTTAACAGTAAATGCCATTTGATAGTTTCAAAGTCAAGATTATAAAAGTAGCGGCAGGAAAAAATGTGATACAATTACACGTAAAGGAAATAGAGCCAAGACTTGCTAACGACCAAAGACTCGCAATGAACTTTCACCCGATTTTATACATTCTCAATGTAATACACAAAGAAAACATTTTTGATAAACTGGCAGTTATGTCCAACCAACATCACGTGCTTATACCGCCTGAACTCAAATTCACTCAGATTGTTGGTGCCAATAGCAGACGATCGCGCGATACTTCCATTAGCGAGCAGTTCATGTAGAGAGGGCGACATACTGCCGTTTGATGGAGGAGAGGGGACAAAATACTACGAACGATTGTGATCAGCTGATCTTCTTATTTGAGGACAGCATCTCTTACCTGTGTTTTGTTGCTGTTTCGGTTGTCTGTGAGGTTGATCAGTTATGGGCTGCTTATTTGTTTTCTCTGTGAATTTATTGAGTAACAGGCCCCGTTCCGCTGTAGAACGGTAGCCAGATTTAGTTAGTTTAAATCGCATCTACAACGTTTCATCTAGGGTTAAAGTTTGCCTTCGAGTTGAAAACTAAAAACATTAGAGACTGCGAGATATTAAAGAGATCAAAGGTAACGCGTATGCGACTTACTTCGTGTGTTAGATGCATTAGTAATCGCATATGTAGTATTGGTGCATTACCCGAATCTGTTTTTCACTATATTTACGTTGTGTGTAGCAAAGTCATAAAGAATGCATAAAACAAAAACTGCTTCTCTTAGTCCAATGAAAACTTAGCCGAAATTATGAAGATTTAGTTGAAAATTGAAAGGTTTAGTATCGTAAGTGGGCCGCGTAGATTTCGGTGAGTTTCATAATATATTTCAAACATATTATTTTGTATCAACACAGTGACTATCTAATTTCATTATTCGGGAGCCATCAGTGTACAAGCGAATTGAAGCTATGACGTTTTAAATGATAATTTCTAATTTTTGTTTTATCTCGATGCCGGCTCCAAATTACCACAAAAAAAGATATCAATTAGAAAACATACTTACGTGTTTTACAACACGTCAGAATTATCGTAAACTGTTTATAATTGATATCCAATATACGTTGCTCGATTTGTTCCTTCGAGCTCCAAATATCAAACGAAGACTAACTCGCTTTATTCACACAAGTGATGTGTATGATATGATATCGGCGATACCCGTGGCCGCTTGACGTGACTGTATAAATTACATGTTGTTAATTACAGAAGACCAACTATAAAGAACGGAATAAAAACAGACCTGTTTCACTAATGGTACTACCGTGACGATTTATAGATTAAAAGCAAAACTGAATATATCTAATAAATACATTTGGGTTATGAAATATCTCATCTTTTATCTTCATTGAATACCGATTGTATCCATATAGAGCCATATAGATTGAAAGATGTGTTAACATGAGAAAACCTTTGCAATACATGATAATAAAGAGTATTTGATAAGCTCGAAATATTAGCGCATGTAATTTAAGAAGAAGATATTGTAGTGTTTGTCCTTTAAACGATGGAGCTTGAATGGCAGCTGCTTAAAGGGTTCCGAGGACCTCAGATTGCCTCAGGAGCATTACTAAACCTCTCTTGTTATATCTGCGCTATTCAACTGCACAAACATGTCCATCCTATAGTCTTAACATCTGCCGTAAGCTTTTTATTTTATTTAATTCGAGAAGCCATAAAAATTTATTTAGAGATTATTTTTTTTACCGTTTATAGTGCTCGTTGAAATTATTCACTCAATTTACAGTGTGATTGACTGATACATGTAGACAGGTTTCATTAAGGATTCACTGACTGTTCATCACCTATGACAGTGATTTATCCAATGAGCTGTTGGTAATGTGCGATAGTAAAAACACTCAGCGTTGGAAAGCTACTCAGATACTGTCTAAGGATTATGCGGAATATGAAAGATGGCTTCACATCAACGGTATTTCCTAATCCCTTTGATATCGAATACCTCTGTTTCGAGTTTTATGTCCGCTTTCGCCGTTAGGTATTCCATTAGATGGTATCCGATGCCTACGCATACTAGATTTGCCCTACCAAGAAAGTGTAATTTTAGTTTGAAATTAACACGATTATTCAAGAGCATCGAATTAAAAGCTGCACAAATGTTTTTCTCTTTCGTTTAAAATGTGTAACCGCGACTGCCAGTCGGAGGTATCCGCGAACAACGCTTAACATAAACGATTCAACGGGCTCATATTGGTAGATATCTAAGAGTTAGTATGAAGAGGCTATCGCAATAAACCAACTATGCTTTTTACTAGAATTTTCTTTCATTACTCTATATAGGGTAGAACTCAAGTTTACTCAAAAATGCTGTTCCTCTTCTTTGCTTCATTGCCCTTTCTAATTTGATTCATTTTCAACGTTCATTCTCTAGTTCATTCCAGCGGCGAACTACGCATCGTGAGTCGTTGGAACAGCGTACGGCCTTTGCATGCTAAAAAACCGTGTGTGGTTGCTCCAAAAACAAATCATGGACAAAATCTGCGACGTTCGTATTGTGGATTGCCTTGAATCTTCGTACATAAAACCATATCGAATGGAATATAAACAGGTAAGCTCGGCTTAAAGGATTTTTGCCGTCAAATAGACGCAAATAGAAACAAACCTAGAAGCACTTGAACTTCTACCTATTGGTTGCTATGTGTTAGTTTTCCGAAGATACGCCTTTCTGTAACCTCCTTATAAAGAATAATAATAATAACGGACATCCGCTAATAATTATTTAATTATATTTAGTATTGTTTATCATCGAATCATCCCGCATGGCCAATATGACAAAAGTTCTCATGAGTGCTCTGATACGAGTCACTTGCATCGCATAGAAGAACATATATTCTTACAAGAAAGATACCTAATTTTTAATAGCGATGTTGTGCGACGTTTCCAGAATGGAAGACAACGCGTTTGGGACTTGTGTAAAGTGCATGACAGTGTTGCCTGTATCGTCTATAATTCAACGCGAGACCGACTCCTCTTTGTGACACAGTTTAGACCTGGGGTTTACATGAACCGGTGTTCTTCGGTAAATGGGGTGGTGGACACAGATCGGTATGTATCCGTGACGAATAATCGATTATATGTTATGTGGTATGTTTTCAGCATTACTTTCCTTCGTATCGAGCTATATTTGTTTGCGAGGTATTTTTTGTATGGACCTATTCACGAAACACACCAACATCCATGCCAAATTAAATGATTACTTACAATTCTAAATCAGTGATTATTATATTAAGTACAGAATGCAAGTTATCAGTGACCGGTGACTAGAGGTAGAGGTTTAAATATCGTCTCCGTAAACATTTTCAATGCGGAATAATTTGCGTCGGCTACAGCAACGGTAAAGTAGGTGTAAAAATTCTTTTTAACAAACATACACTAATTTGTCAAATATTTAAGTCTTAATAGAAAATGAAAACTTTTTCAAAAGTCTTGAAACAGGGGAGAGAGCACTAAATGATATGAAGAACACAGTTTATAGTGGGGAGCTTTCATACTTTTAAGCAAGCTTTATCCCCGTGACAGCGAAAGGGGTATCATTTTTGCCTGCTAAACAAGGTCTGAAGCCGGACGTAGACACAGTGTTTCGTTTCGTGGTGGAACGAGCGAGTAGTTTCGAGTAATACCTAATAGCTTAAGTACGATACGTAGAATACAAAAAATATAGTGATTTTATTTTCGAAATTCCAGTTACCCGGGAAGCCTGGGATTGACGTTGGAACTTTGTGCTGGCATTACGGACAAAGATAAAACGGTCGAACAGACCATGCAAGAAGAACTTGAAGAGGAGATTGGGTACCACGTTCCCCTTGATCGTATTCAAAAGGTATGTTACCTAGAATTACTAAAAAAAACCAGCTACGATTAATCATGCCTGCTTCTAGGTCGTGACTTTTCGCTAAAAATACTATAATCTGTGACGTTCTTTACCGTCTACGAACTAAATTGGCTCAATTACCGATTTTATAGGAAACTGATCCCCTCAATACATGTTCGTTATTGTGGTTCTAGGTAACCGCGTATCGTTCCGGTGTGGGGACTCAGGGTTCAAAGCAGACATTATTTTATGCCGTTGTCCGCGACGAAGACCGCACCTCGTCAGGGGGCGGCAATGATAGTGAAGGCGAGATGATACAGGTCAGACCAAAATTATTGAGAAACCTGATTTGTTGAATTAATAACGTACTATCTATTCAGATTTCAACGAAACGTCTTTAACATTTACTCACATTAAATTACAAAAAAAATCAGGTACTTGGTGACAAGACAGCTTCTTAAGGTAAAAAAGAACTAGTGTAGACTTGAAGCATAATTAAAAGTGGCCAATGTTTTTCTCGGACGTTTACGCGCATCCCCACAGAGGTTTTTAAGAAAGCCTACAATACACCATTACTTCCAGGTGATCGAGATGAGTCCATCCGAAGCACAAAGTGTTCTTATGGACGAATCTATTATGCGCCCGCCCTCATTACTGTTCGCCGTTCAGTGGTGGTTAGCTAACCACGCCAGTAAATTCGCAGCCAAGGAAGCGGCTGACAAGTAATCGATGTTAATATGGAAATTCGACCCGTGTAAACGACAGCCGACGAATGAAATATGCGAACCAATGTTATAGATCTAATAGGGAAAGGTTGCTGGCATGGGTAGAAGGAAAGCGAGGAGAACCGTAATCAGAAATAGTTTCTTAAACTCCATTCCACTTTGATTTGTCAACTTCATTGGTATAATATCTATATGGATATACGTATAATTAAAAAAACACATCTTATCGAAAGATACGAATTTAGGCAATAAAGAAATCAGCACTACATTTAGCTCTGCCTGGAAATACTGAATCATCGTAAAGCAATTGTTTCATTAAAGACCTAATTATCTGAAAGAACACTAATCTGAATACAAATTGTTCCATTTATTGTTAAATACGGTAGAAAAAATGGCAGTTTTGCTTGCGTGTTTTCTGAAAAACCAATTTCTGACTCATATGTGCTCAGAGTTTGGTGTTAATTGATTTAACAGAAGGCGAACGTGCCTGAATATTGCAATAGTATATTTCATTAAGATTTAAGGGGCGCTGGTATTGTTATATGGAAAAGTTTTCATCGTTTCACGTCTGTATATAGCTAATTATAACGATCATGCTTTAGAATTACTACGCAGGCCTTGAATAGCTTAGAAGAAATCTTGTGCTATACAAAGGAAACGCTCCGGCTCGTTAAGCAAGTTACTTTTTATTATTTAAACTTTAACACATTATACAATGATAACAAAGTATTAAGTAAAGGAAAATCGGTCTAACAGGACAGTGACATCAACGTCAGGATCACGGTTCTACGTTACAGAAATGGTTAGAAACAGAAAATGAAAAGCAAATATATTCGGAATACGACTTAACCATTGTTGTTCTGTATATGAACTACATCAAAACGCATGTAAATGTAATTAGATATTAGCGGGATCGACCGATGGGGCCACACGACGCTACTCAAGAGCGCGTTTGTGAACACGGATGAATAAAACTCAGTTAATACAACCCCTAGGCTCGATTTCATCGACTACACGACCCGCGTTTAAGTTATTAAAGGTGCGCATGGCCGCTGCACATGCACTGACTGAAAAATAGAGATATCTTGTGATATACCTCTATCTTTAGTTGTTTTGTAGTATAACTGGGCTATTTAAAGCAGTCAAATTTTGGCTAGTCGAGTACGTATTAGCGTAACTTTCCTAAATGTGTACGTATACATAAATGAGTCACAAAGCTGCTTGTAGTAGCATCTTTTCGATCGCCATTTTTATTGGGCACCTTATCTAAAATCAGAAAATGACTACACATCGACATGATATCAAAATGCGCGGAATTTATTATAACTGCCATTAATTTTATCGCTTGCTGGGTCATTTTCAAATCAACCAAAAATTCAAAAGCCTTTCTATTGTTTCTGACCCACATCTGGCCTTGTGTGTTTCTTCATTTCTGTTATTATGTGCATTAGATATATTTACTACTATCCAGATATTTAGTACCATCAATGCCGTCGTGTGTCATATCTTTCCAAATGGGCAAGTCAGCTGTTGTAATTATTATCATTGTGAGATAGAAATCTTTCTCTTTGCCATTTCAATAGCAACAGTGATGAGGGCCATGTGTGTTCACCAAAATTCTATTGGACATATATATATATATATATATAGACATCACTATATGCGACGCGTGTGATCAGAAAAAAAAACATGATTTGTTTTTGCCATTCGTTTTCTTGCAACCATTTAAACTTTTTAGTCTGAGCATAGTGACTGCCCTTATTTCTCACAGTTAAAGAACTACCATCCGTCACTGTCGCAAGACAAACAATGTGAGATTATATGTGATATACATGTATACATATGCTGTCACATTGTTTCGTCTTTATTTCGTTTCGACATTTCGAAAAATCCATATTCGAGCACGTTTCCTATAAATTGTCCGTCCGTTCCCGTCTGACGTGGTCAGGCTATAAACAAATAAGTTTCGTTTTTTCCGAAATTTCTCGTTTAAGCCTTATTCCGCATAAGATGGGTTGGCTTCGGAGTCATGTTGCGCGTACCTATCCACTCACCAGTTGAATATTCGATTTGTGTAGGTAGATTACAATACTAGCATCAATTTTATCAATATAATCATCCTTCATATAATAATAATTATTATTATCGTTTGTTTTTGCAGCAGTGGTACACGCGTTATTGTAGTATCTGTTGATGTGGTTGTTTTATTGTTGAAATAGTTATTCGCATGTATCATTATATTAGATATATTTCTAACATTGTTCCCGTAAATGACGAAATCTTGTGCCATTGCGTGAGGCACCGCAACAGCGTTTACTGAGGAGTCCACCCTACTGATTCGAACTGTTGAGGTTCTTTGTTGATATGCAAAATAATCCATAAACACATAATCAAAGACAAGGTATTGCGAGGCCGACCAAACTGATTGAAGGAGGCGATAAAAGAAATTAAGGCTATCAAACGGTCAGTCTTAAATAGGTAGGAACGACAGATAGAGACATTTTGTCGCTTATAACGCTAAATTGATTCCGCGGGAAGTAAAAGATTGTAGCATTTACAACGAAGAAATATAGCCCAAAGCGACAAGGATGAAAAGCCGAAAAAAAAGAGGCATTACTGCGTTACTTTTTTCTCAATATGTGTTGCTGCTTTTCATGTTTTTTTATTGGACACCCGTTTTAATAGGCCGCTTAGCGTTTTTCGTGGCTGATAAGCCTGTTCAGTGACTGATTCGCGCGGTACCACACTTACGTGCGAGCATTCGATGTTCTTATCACCAGCCCAACCACATTTTCTTCGACACCGTATGTTTTGCTGGATGTAATAGAAACTCCGAACTTATCTTTACCTTCATCTATACAGTCTCATGTTTTTTCAACTCGTTATTACTAATTACCGTTACCACACTGGTTCAAGCTGTTACCATTCATGCTCAAGCTGATAAGTCACAGACAATATAGTCGATTCGTTCGCCAGACTCAGTTTTTGCTTTCTTCATTTATTGCTGCTACTGTATATCTACAACTGAAGTCAATAGCTGTCGCAGTCCAAGCTTTCGTTTATGCTATAGATAAACATACATTCATATGGGCATCACCTTCTTTTTCAGGCTTTTTCCAAATTAACCTCTCGCATCTCGACGATCCAGCCCAAATCTAGTCTGTCGCACAAAGTCATTTTTCCACTTATTTTGTAGTGTTTTGTTTATTCTTTGATCCTCCATGCCTCATTTGGCAGCAAAGCAGGTAGAGTATCGCCAACGCCCTCTTGAGGATAAGCCAGGGCCGCAGACGTCCGCTAAATTGGATACCAACGGAGTGAGTTGCGCGACCCAGTCATTGTCCATATGCGGAAGCTGGAAAACACATTAATAGGACGATTGCCTAAATCTATTTGATTTGGGCCATGTCAATGTTTTCCGATTCTGCTGTTGTCAATCATGCCGAAAATAATGTCTTTCCATCAGATCCCTTTCAGCAAGTCATTTTAGATGTCCTTCGTCCAAGATCAAGAGAGATGGTCAGTTGATGGTACTGTCCGTTCTTTCAAAATGTTTCTCTTAAGCGATTGTTTCCCTATACATTGAAATCGGCCCCACACCTTGTACATTTTGCACTGCGAATATAACTACTCGCCATGCACCAGAGCTGGCCTGACACCGTATGTCTGTTTATTTTTCTGTCCAATTATGCGTAGGTAATACCGTTCCTTATTAAATAATCGCTACATTTTTACACTCGGTACACGGGTCATACTCAGAATTTTTGTCATCGCCTTCGTTGAGCTTCAAAGATACCATCCTCATTTTTATTGGCCTCAGCTTCATGTCTGTCGTTCGGCCTTTATTGTATATCATTATATTCACCACCATTTATTCGTTGTTACGAGAATAGTAACTCAGGTCATCAGCACTCATCATAACCATTATCATCAGCATACTCATTTATTGTCAGTTATATTTACTCAGCTCTGTGGGCTGCAAACATATTGATGTTTACACTTACACATATATTTGTATATCATAGGGGAGTGTCCTCTTGCGATATATATATATATATATATATATATATATATATATTTGTAGCAGTTAAGCATTATCATCAGTAGTATTATCTACTGTCAAACACTTCTCAGGGTACCATCGTAATGAGTAAGCAGTGCCTACAGTTTGTTGACACCATGTCGCTGATATATTTCCACGTACCTTGGCAATGGTAGATCGTCTCCTCGAAACTGAATCACACACATTGCTTCGTTTCTGCTAGCATAATCTGTGTCAACAGCAGTTACGTAAGTATATATATGAGTCTCTTGCGCACATTGTATATATGCCTCTTGCATTATTCTACCCAAATCAAATCGCTAAGTATCTTGTTCGTAGTGCACCGTTCCATTGAGATTTCATCCCACGCAATAATAAAGAAAAGCGAATGACAAGATACAAATTTTTTCTATCCACTGCACGTTTACCGCTCTGTATATAACTGTTTTAAGGCTTTGAACTACGTGCATTAGCATGGCAAGATACCCAATGCCCACATTACGTTTGTTGCATTCTAGTCCAACCTTGTTTCCCTTACCCTTTGAATACACGTTGTTGGCGTACTTCCCTATAAAAGTTTCATTTATTACCCACAGTAATCGTTCTTCCTCCCTTGTGTGTATGTACAATTTTTGCGATGTGTCTGCTCCTTGTTTCGAGAGCCGTCGGAAGTTTGTTTAACTTGCTGAAACTTTGCGCGCGTTCCCCTTTGAAAGGGCTTCCTCCACAATCCCGTCGTTGCACAAGTTCGCTTACCCGCTAACCGAACTGGGGTTACACACGCAGCTTACCTTTTTGTGCCGCTTTTTACTGAGGTATGGCTGAGCTTAGAAAAACAAGTGTCCGTGCGGTCAAGGCGCTTGTCGAACATTCGCCGTAAAGCGATTTACATGCTTGTATCGACTGGGCCAGACGCACAGCGTTTCTGCGTCCGACCCGTGCTCTTTTTTACTATGAAGCGTCCGCCATAAGACACCTGTATACACGTAAATGGCTGAATTGTGTGACTATGCCCGAATTCATCATCACACAGTGACGCTTACGAGTGGAAACAACTGATTAATTGTGGCTAGGAAGTTGGGCGACAGACAATTAGCTTGTCGGCTCCAGCAGTGGAAGGGGAGTATCGGCTGCGGCGCGGGCCGCTGAACCAGCGGATCCGACAAGGCTGGTCGTGCCATGATACGAGAACTGCTGGAAGTACGGCTGCTCTACCTCTTCCGAGATCGAGTTAAGGCCAGCATTGGCGGCGTCTGTTCCATGGTAATCTGGCGGCGTAAGTTCAACGCTCTCCCCTGTAAATTCCTGATCAAAGTAGCGGGTGTCGGTATCAGATGTCACCTACAAATAGTAAGGAACAAGCCAAACGAGAAGAATCGTCAAGCCACGCGGTGTGTTACTTTAAGTGCATCTATATTGAGAAGCAAATTATTAGCTCTGTATTTGTAATACTGACTAGATACCTTTCATACCTGGTTATATCAAATACATCGCTAACTGACAATAATTTGCCCCCCGGAAATAACCGATGTGTCTACTTATGGAACAATGACAAAACGGTACGTTTTCTTTTTAGCAAACACACTTGTCTTTTGCCTATACATTTTGGTAGCGGTTTATGCAAACGTACGCACCAGCTAATGAGAGGCCAATGCATATGGTTCGCTAGGCCATTTGCTGCTAGGCAGCACTCTACTGGAAATCTATTTTTTCAAATCCGTATTGCTTTCTGAATCCATATTCAAAACCGCGAATTAAAACACTAGTTATAACGGTAGTATTCTCTAACATAACTGATAAGTAGTACGCGTCTAGAATTGAAATGTAAATAAAGACACGCCAACATTTTGACCGTATACCTTCCTCATTCATTTGTTGTCCTAAGCGTGGGATGTATACCTGCGGTTTGAATGGAGGCGTCAACTGTTTTGCGAGTAGCAGCTCCCATGGTACTCGACAGAAAAACGCGTGCTCCTTAATTTCTTGAGCATCTCGTTCCGACCCACCCAATCGTTGAGAAGGTTCCTTCGTTAAAAGACCAGTCAGAAGATTCCGAGCATCTGGACCTAGCGTAGGCGGGAACCGTACGTCCTCTGCTAAGATTAACTCAAACAAGACATCGTGGTCCCGATTGTAGAACGGCAATCGGCCACACACCATTTCATACATTACAACACCAAGGCCCCACCAATCGACGGCTCGACCGTAGTCCGTGTCGTCCAACACCTCTGGTGCGAGGTACTCAGGCGTCCCACAAAATGTGTGAGTCGTTCGTCCTGTTGAACCGACGAAAATACAAATGAAAAGTTAGGTAAGCGTAGCGTAAAGCTGCGATTCCTACTGAGTGACTTTATAACTATGAGAAGAATATCAACGCGAATATGGAAAATAGTTACAGGTAGTTCAGATGCCGCCAAGGACCATGTTACAAGCAGAAAACTATTTTTATCAAAGCTATAGGTTACTGACCGAAGGGAACATCCTCTTTACACAAGCCAAAATCAGCGATCTTGATGTGTCCGTCCCGGTCAAGTAAAAGATTCTCCAGTTTCAAATCTCGATAAATGATTCCCTGCTCGTGAAGATATTCCAAAGCTAGTAAGATTTCGGCGCCATAAAAACGCGTCTTTTCTTCGCCAAAGACGCGCTCCTGTAACCGGAGGTAAACGAAATAATTCCACAGGTAAAATGATTAACTGCTTCGATATCTCTGCTATTAACACAATTCTAGGTTTAACTATAATTTAAGACCATGTAGCTTCAGCTTCAGATAAACGGATTGATTGCCTCATGATGTAATCCTCCTGTTTCCATTGAAAATAATCTTTGAGACCAGATGTGGCCATTAAGATCATGCGCAAATAAATCTTACCCGTGATAGATGAAAGAATAGCTCTCCTCCGTTAACGTACTCCATTACGAAGCACAATCGATCCGCTGTCTGTGAATGTTGAAACAGTCCAGCATAAGTTAAAAATATTTGCGATTTTTGGTTTATAATATTTAATGCTTGCTGCGAAAAATCCTTGCCTAGGTTATATCTTATATAGTTTGTTGTTTACTCTATATGCATGGTCAGATAAACTTAGACCTACATCCGGGAAAAAAACGAGTTAAAGCTTCGGTAATGACGTAAATCTACAATTCAAACTAATTAATCTGTTTCTAACTCGAGTCGTAGATTATACTTATCCCACCACCGTGGGCTTACCTTTGCCCCACACTGTACTTGAATATTGTATATCTAGCAGTATCAAATCTTGAAAATTTTGACGTTCGTCTTTTTTCGTCTAACCTGTCGAAATCGGCTTGTTTGGGTTCTGGCTTATTGCCATAGTGAGATAAATTAAAAAATAAAAACTCTAAATTAAAATCTTAGGTAACGAAAACCCCAATAGGTCCCGGTTTATAAGTAGTAAAACACCTAGTTAGAAGATGAGGCATTAAAGAACTGTTTGTTTTCTGTACTACTATCAAGTTTTTCACGTACCTGAAAAGAATACTTAAGCGAAATGAGGAATGGATGGGACGTCGTCTGCAGGACCCGGTTTTCCGTGAGCGTATGAGCCACTTCGTCCTTGGCGATTACCACCTTTACAGAGGATTAATAATAACGGCAAGAAATAATAAGCCATAAGTAATTGGAAATCATTGGACTCTCAATAGATTTACGTACACTATTGTATTTTTAAGAAGTCAATCCTTTTATGTTAAAAATTGCACTTGACAAGGTGGGAACCTTCAAAAGGCAATGCTATGCACGTACAGCGCGTTCAGAATAATGGTAATATATGACCAAGCAAAACATCGGATTTTATAATGTTCGAAAATTACTAAGCTAATGGTGCATAAGATGGTGGGGTCTACGAGATGTATTAAAAAGGCGCGACACGTTTTTAGTCATCTGCCAAACATTTCACGACTATTGTCACGGCCGTAAAAGCTCCTGAGGGCTATTCTAATGGGTAGTAACTCTACCATTGTTTGCACTACCACAACCCTGGAAATTCGAAGCCGCTGAAAGAACATGAAAGCGTGTACTTCAACGCGGGCAGAAAATGGTGAGGTGAGAATAATCTGCTACGTCCATAGACGTACCTGCTTTTTGAGTATCTTTATGGCGTAGAGGTGAGCGCTCGCTTTTTCTCGACACAGAATAACCTTGCCGAAAGTTCCCTTACCCAACACCTGTAATTATGTCAATTAGGATTTTTAGTGGAATTAAGCGTCGTCCCGTTCTATTTTTCCCGAGATTAATGGCAAAAGGGGTGTACCATTTTGTGGAGCGGACAACACCCACTTACGTAAAAACTACTTGAACGAATACGTCGCCTAATATAATCACTATGGACCAAACCAGCAAGTACTAAATCATGATCAGACTTTTATAAACTCGAAGTTCTCAAGTGTAATTTTCGACGAGGCGTCTCTGCGAGTCGACACATTGAACTTATCACGGAGACTTTGCTGCTCCAGTGTTGATGCCTCCTCAGCCATTTCAACGTCCTGACGCAGATTGTGATCGACATACTCAATCGCTGCCACCTATTCCAGTCGGGATAAAAAAGATATATGCATATATTATTGTAAGATAAGATAGGAGGACAAATGAAATACCTAGTATTTTTAATCGCTTCAAAAACTATTTACCTTCAGTAAAAACTATTGCGCTTTGCACTTATTTTTCTATCATATATGATAGAAAAATATCTGTATACATTTCAAAGTGGCAACATATTCGATACGGCGTATGCTTGCGTTCATTATTGAATACACTTCTACTAAAATGAATTAAATCTAGAAGCAGACATATTTATATTTTTTGATACACGGATCGTGCACGGGACTCACCCATTTTTCTCGTTCTTCGTGACTGTCGACAGAGAACATTCGCTCGATGACCTGAGCCCACTGTAAACCGCGAATGATGAAAGTGAATGCACGAGGACGCTCTTGACGCATTACCTATGAAGAGTATCGAATAAATGTGAAAACTTAGAGAAAATCAAGCAGCAGTTCTTTGTGCTTAAATAATGGTATAAATGAGAGTTTCTGAAAAATCACCGTGAATTTAAATGGACGATGGTTTGCAGCGTCCCTAATGTGAGAATAGGGAATATGTATCTTCAAATTGTATAAGCCGGGTTGCGACAATCGGGGTTTCAGGCCTAAAGTAAGCGCATGACTAAGACAAGGGTCTGCCTAACAACACAAGTTTTGTGAGTCCGACTATGAGATTATCGAGGTACACCTTTTAGCCAAACCCCAGTGTAACATATGTGAGAGACGTATAATAATAATAATAATGCTAAGAATACAAAATACTCCGCACTAGTTTTAATTGAGAAATTTAACTGAAAACATGTCTTTTTTGACACTAGTCGTTGACCCTAAAAAATTATCGTTGCTCTGCGAATATGACACCTATATTACATTTTGGTTAAGTCTTCCAACCAGTCCGGAATAGATATCTTACATATAGTGTAGTCGGATATGCTGCGATCTGTTTCAAAACCCAAGCGTCCAAAAAAGTCAAAAAGTCAAACAGAACTAACGAAGCGCAAAAAGTTAAGGCTTAATTACAGAATCTTGTTAATCCTGTATCACCATTTTTGTAATACTAGAAATTACATTCAAAGTCACTTTGAATTATTCTTATGCCCTTTCAATCTATCCCTAGTATACACATTCTGTTTGGCTTAAATCCGTGTCAGAAAACCTAATTCCGTAATTTCCTTCTAGTAAAAACCAATTGCCTTCTAGCACAGAGAGCAGCCGATAAATGTTTGTCTACTACCGAAAACAGCTCGTTAAAATGCGTTTTAATTTATCCTGAACAACCTGTATAAAAATACTAGTGAATTCCAGATTGTTGTAGTGTATAGCACTAGTAAGCAGTCTGCTAAACGTCCGTGGTAACCGACTAATGTCTGTTGAACGTTAAAATCATAAAGTGCCGAATCTCTTAAAATTACGCCAACAAATATTACTGTTGATCCAATATGTTAGAGCCATCACTATGAGCCATGTCAGTCATTTGCTATGATTCTGCCGCTAAAAACAGGAATAGCGGAGGTAATGAGATGATGGAGAATAAGATAGCTCGATGAACTCACGAAGGCTTGGTACAACGGCCTTGAATAAGCCAGCTCGCGCACTGTGGACTCTCATAAAACTACCTGCCGTTCTCCTACCCAGGCCACTGCCTGCCTGGTGACAAAATGCCGTAATGCTACATACGTTGCAGAACGTGAGTCCGCGAGACAACCGAAAGCTTTATATAAGTAACACGTTCTTGACAGGAAACAAGCTAGTTATGTTGTGCCTTCAACCAGCGACACAACTTTGACAAAAAAACTCAAACCGAGAGTGTTAGCCGATTGGTCACATAACGACCAGGGATAAGGGTCGGGGTGATCAAAGGCGCTGTTAGGTATCATTAGCAGAACTCGACCTTTTCCACTTCTTTCCTTTCAAAATAACACCACCAATTATGCAAGTGCGAACAATACCAGTGGATCAGTTGAGGCCCATAGAAATATCGTGGCTTCGTCAAGTATAGTGAACATTTAACAATAATGCTTCAAATCCTGGCACAAATCAGAGCAACACAGAGACAATGCTAGGAAGAATGATATTATTTTAACACGAGTTTTCCACTGTGTTAGTCAACGAAAAGGTATGCAAGATTGAGTTTATTCAATTACTTGTTGCTCGCAACCTTCTTAAAAACAGGAATACAAAATCAGCGCTGCCGCCTGGTTAATAACTATAATTAGCACGTCCAAAAAGACTATGCAGTTATGAACACTTTTTAAAAATGAATAACTCGTTGAACAGGGACCCCTGTCGAACAGGGAATGTATCCAAACTTGTTTAGAATAAGCAACCTCTTCACAAAATTACTAGTTGAGCTCGAGTTTTATTCGACCGTGTATTTAGCCGATAAAGTTGTTCTTTTTTGACAAATTTTCCTGAGAGTGTCTACGACTATACTATAGAATACCTGTTAATAGATGTTGTAATTATGATGTTCGATTTTCTAGTAATAGACGTATTTCTTCACAAACAGATAAATAAGGATGGTGAATGTATATGAGGGTACCTATAGTAAAACCACCTAGTTTCAGTTGCAAAAATTTCTTGTCATAAATTCCGTTATTCATCAGTGCGTTACAAACCTGACAGTCTTTGACGGTGAAGTTATTCAGCGGATCTGAATACTGACCGGGCTCTGGCTGAGCCTTGAATCCTATCAGTGAACCGTCATCCCGCAGAATGAAGTATCGTTTTCGCCAGTTCTTGATATGCTCACCTTTCAAAACAGACAAGCAAAAATCAAAGTAACCGTTAAGAAACAGCTAGCAAAAGGACGCGTGCGTCTGGTACGCACATTGTAGTTCTACTATAGAGAAATTACATTCTGTGCACATCAAATATGTATGTTTTAACATACATCGCCTATTGCGACACGTTCAAATAATTTCTTAGGATAAACAATTAAGTGAGTCATGGATTGATTTTTGCTTTCTAACCGTAAATACTCAGGTACCCTGAAGAACTAGAGTTAGCGTTTTAATCACTGCTATTTTCAAGGAAGACTTTTTGTTTAGCTTTTGTTTAGTTAGTGACCGCGCCGTTTGTACGTGACGAACCGGATTGATTACAGCGAAACACACACAGACATCCACACATACAGACACCCATGAACACACACCATAGATCACATCATCATCATCTATGCAGGCTTGCTGTTACTGTTCGTTCTACTAAGTAATCAGCAATTTTTGTGCATGATAATAGAACTTTGGTAGAGCTCTATCAGATCCATCTCATCAGCGTCGCTCACACCGCAATCTACGAAAAACGGTAAACAGATCGATGGAAAGCAAAAAATTTATAGGTACTAAAGCGGGTCATGCTGTTCATAAATTTTAGGTTAAGCATCGTTGCTTCAGACGGCTGGCTCTCTCCAGCTCGAAAATAACCTCGACTACCCCCGGTTTCAAGACCGTTTCAATTCCGAAAGTAGAAAAAGTAAACAAACACGTAACCACTGTACTAATCGCAGTGTCATATATAGACATAACAAACAACGTAATAATGAGATGATTAAAAAACGACGCCGAAGTCAACCACAACAAGTACATATGTTTTTCTTACGACACTAGGATTAGTGTTTTACTGGGAAACGATGACGGCCGAAGAAATTTATGACATTACGAAATTTCATCACAATAACAAGAACTGTGCTTTGTTATCGTAACACCTTACTGCATAAGGCGTCAATTTTATTACAAATTTCGTACACCAATCGGAGTTCAAAACGCAAGTCTAAGCCATAGATTTTCATGAGAAACTTTGTAAAACCCATGCTTCACACCTGGCTTAAATAAATAATAATGAATATTATAGTTAAATAGAAGTTACTTTTAACTTAAAAAGAAAGAAGACAGAAAAAGTACATACTTGTTACACTATTTTAATATGATAGGACAAAAAACGTTTCACCAACAACGAAACATCTGTCAAACACAGAGTCACACATTTTCCGCGCAACTGTTCAGAACAAGACAAAAAAAGCAAAACAAAATCGAACGTGTCTGATTTTAAATTAATCCAAATCAAGTGGAACAATGGAACATGCGCTTAGCCGATGAAGTACCTGGTTGGTGTTAGCAGATCTACTGACTCTATCCGCTAAATAAAGGCAACAACAAGAAACCGTGAACTAACTACACAGACACACATATATATAAATGGAACAAAATGTGCAGCGCGCGCGATGGACAATTAATGAAAGCAGACGCACAGTTACAACCTTGTTATCTACTGGAGGTCCAATCGCCTACTGTCGCTACTATGATTCCGTGAAATTAGCTGGCAATTAAATGGCAAAAACATATCACCACTAAAAGCATCACGATAGCGTTCAGTCACTCCCGGCTTCATATATATATGTTTAAAATGTTACACTTTTGGTTGCAGTCACCTATCACCATGCTATAAATGCAACTGCTTAGGCAGAAAAAGGTCCGCAATCCCAAAAATTTAAGAGAGATGAAAAGCTTTTTTCAAGCCTTCAAACCATACCTCGTTTATGCAGCCATCCCTCTCGGACAATGCTCGGCCCCTCTGGGCCAGGGGCGACTGCTGTGCCCTCGACAGTCGCGCTCATGTCGGTGGCTCCTTCACCTGAAAATAATGACGACAAAAGACGAGTTCAAGCGAATTAAACAAAAGCATAGTATTATTTTCACACGTAAATACACACAAGGGCAGAAAAACCACAAAGGTTACATTATGTTAATCGCAGCGAGGATCTTCTGTGGACAGTTTCTCTGTTTCGTTTCTGTGTCTCGGCAGCATGCTCACCGGGTACGGAAGATACAGCCGATACCTTCAAATCAAATATCAAATGAACTACTTGTCTTGTGTAGTCTATTGTTATCTTCGTAACATATTATCTTTATAAAAACAAATAACTGGTTTACAAACAATTATAAAAACAACGATCAACGTATTTGTTTTGCGTTGACAGAATGCTTTGCATGAGAAATAAGCGAGCCGAAGCTTGTGCTGCAAAATTGTTATATGAGTGCATCATTGATGTCGATGTTGTTATTGTTGTTGATGTTGTTACTACAGAACAGACCAGTACTAGTTGTCAAGGAGCGAAGAGGAAATGGGGTATCCTATCGGCTGTGTTTAAATCATTGACGCAACATTATCTAGCAATTCTTCATATGTGAGCGGTTTCCTCAGATGTCTACCCGGAATTCGTAGTAACAACACTTTTTGTAGTTGTAATTGTAGCGTTTTGTCGGCAAATGTATCAATGAATGCAGGTTTATATAGAAACAAACCCGATAATATCGTCTGCACGTAATAACTGCCTTATTTAAAAAAAGAACGATCTGTTGTTCTGAACGGAGTGATCAAGCATTTGGTCGAACAAACGAATCATGTGGAACACCGTAGAGCAAGCAGACATTTGGAGATATCGTTGTTATAGGGACGATCTGATGCCATACGGCACTAAAACCCTTGAACTAATTCTATTTTACCTTCCAACTGCGCATTGGCAAACTAACAAAAATTACTCATTTAAAGCCCTTCATACATATTGCTCTCACTCAATATAGAGAAACATAGCTAGTTTTTTACTGCATGGTTTTGAGCAAGTCGTTTCTTGTCATTTACGCTAAGTAGCAATAAACTATACTAGTCGATAATTATATGCTAAATATAGGCCATGGAAAACCCGCAATATTGAGTAAATTAATGCTTTATTTCTGCCCTTCTTAAAGGGTATGTTTGGTACATTTTAATTGCAAATACTACATTAATAAAGTTTGGTCAATCGAACTACATTACGCACGGAAATCAAGAATCATAAAAGGCTCCTTTGCATATATTGAATAGGTATATTTTTGGATACTCGTTTAATAAATGTAGTAATAACAGCTCGTTCTCTAGGCATTACAAAAGTAAATCGAGTTTTCAAATTTGGTTTGCAAAGCAGATCTACGTAGCCGTCATTTTTATCAAGTTAAACTACACCAAGTCACAGTGGCACAGTTTATGTAAACACTCTCCTCGAAAGAAGACTTATTTTTAATTCTCCATGCTATCTATTTTGAAAGGTCCTTATTTACTAAGGGGAGAGACAATTTCAGCAAATTAACAAGAATATTAGGGTGGTGCCGTTATCGCGAAACACAATTGACTCTCTTTCTAGACAGGTGATAATGTTTAATTTATGTGATATGTCTAATCTCACAAGCGAAGTCGATTTCTATACTGAGTTCTTCGGACGGAGAGGCCGTACTCGGTAATCGCAAAAGCTTCCTAAATCGGTGTCAAATAAACCATTAGATCAATGAACAACAACCATTATAAAGGCCATTTGCGCTACCTCAAAAGCACTTTTCGGTGGTATACTTGCACCACTTCATTGGCAACATTGTCGAAATGAAGCCTACCGATTTTTTTTTAATGTAATTTTACAATAAATCGCCAGTGTACGTTTAAATAAATTAAACCTAACGTGCGTAACGATTAAAAATATTAAACCTTTACAGTCTTCTTGCAGTACTTCTTAACGTAGCATTTTCTATCAAAACTGACTGTTAATCAATCTAGCGCACTATATGCCGGATAAACAAGAATATCCAACTTTATACAATTACTTTTATTGTGCACCTCCCTCCAATCATATTGTCTAGCTTTAAACGGCATAAATTAACGCAATAGTGGAGCGTAGCAGTATCAAGTACTTTCGCTGCGATCAGCCCTCAACTACATAGCCTCGCCCCCAGAAACTGCTTTCTATGTCTGGTGGATACTTGTCGTTTAATAATTTTATCGATTTCGAACGGCGTTTAGGAAACGATACATATGTTTGATCCAATTCGTGTGCTAGATCTATTAAGCGTCCAAATACTGTAGCATTTGGACGCTTATACACTGTTGCATAGTGCACAGCATAATTTGAAAAGCATTGTAACTGTTCTTTATATATATATATATACACTGAATATTACAAAGCCCGTTGGTACTATGGTAAATATTATTGTCCAGTTAGCACACGCATGGATCACGAATGATAGTTTTACGTTAGTTGTCAACAAACAATTTGGTCCCAGCATCTCTGAATAGATCAACACTGTCCACCTGTCAACATGTACTTAAGACCAGGTTAAACGTAACAAAGCCCGATAGTGCTGGAAAACCCCCTGATACCACGTGATCGCCCGAACTAGGACGTTTACTTACCTCGCCCTTAATACAAATAAACACAAAGCCGGTAATACAGTGTTGTGCCAGAATTGATTTCCAGCCAGTAGTAAACACTGTTAACTACGCCCCATTTTCGCTGTTATTATTGTCATCCACATAAGAATCACCTTTTTCTACGACGGTAAACAGTTCGTGGGTATTATGAAGACTTATCTATATATGCCTAGTCCATCGCTGCAACCCACATATAGCAGCGGCAGCAGCATCACAGCATCGCGAGACCACATGGGCCTGCTGTCGTCCACAGCTGAGCAACAACACTGCAGCTATAGCGGCATAAACGCCAGCAAGACGCAGCCTCTTCACAGCCGAATAGCTTAGAGTATGATAGCGACAGTACGGGAAAAGTAACTAAAGTTATTTCGTCGATACGACAGCAGTCGCGGCAGCAGCGTTGTCAACAGCCGTGAAACCAACAACATTCCGCCGGCAGTACACAACTCGCTATATAATTTTATTTTCTATGAGATATCGGAGCGGTGTATTATTTGTCCGTCCGTCTGTCTGTCTGTCGATCCATACGCCCGCGATAAAATTTTACGAGGAGATGACGACGACAACAACAACAGTCTCAACGACGCATCAGCCTCGTTCGAATAACATGCATGAACGACAGCGGCGGCGGCGGCGGTAAAAAGGGGCAAATGCAATAGGTATGAACGAACGGGGGATGAAAGACGACAAGCGGATCGGGACGGCAGTCGCAACAATGAAAATAACAAGATCACACTATCTGCTAACTAATAATAATAATACTAACCCCTAAATAGTCATAGTTATCGTACTAAAAGGCTAGCTACTCATAATAATCTACAAATTCATATATGTACGGCAGCCCAACGAGATGACGGCCGAAGAATAATGCCTAAGAGAATCGACTTATATTTTTATGGATTGTTATGAATAGCGATAATAACAATTTATGAATAACCCCGCAGTAACAAGAAGTGGTCATGTCGAATGTTCCCCATGGTACCGAAGTTCTGGCGATGCATTTTTCTTACGCTGACGTACATGGCTTTTAAACATCATATCTGTTTGCTATTGACTCTTGTTTTCTTTCGTTCTTTCTGAGGGTCTCTGGATACTGACCTGTTTTCTGCGCACACTACCAGTACGACTATCTTCATGTGAATAATGTTTTCGTTGGCTGAAAGCGATGGCGCTCCGTTCTGAAGAGACGGGCACCTGAGCAGGCAACTGACTCGAGATTATTCGATCGACAAATTCTGCAGCAAAACTACAGAAGTACCTACATTACAAAGACGACTGTTTGTGTCCACAGCAGCCCAAAAACGAATATATTGGCCGAAACGGACATGTAACAACAACAACGACACTTACATTTATTGGGCCGTAAGGTCCCAAACAAAACCGGTAGTAAACAAGTGCCAGGTAACAGGCGACATTCGTTCGACCACTCGTTTTGTCGCTGTTATCACTCTAGTATCGCTGCTGCTACTGCTCCTACTACTACTACCGCCAAGGTAACAACAACTACTAACCATCCGCGTCTATTTCCATCGGGGGAGTGGACGGAGAGGGGAAATTTGACTAGTGCTTGTTTTGCAGCCTGCGCAATTCGACATTCGTTGGGGGCAAGAAAAAGAGGCAGACCGGCTCAAGAGTAAGCATTTGCAAACGCGCGCTCTGGGACGGACACATGGTCACTCAACTATCTATTTGCCCCTTTTCTACTACAGCACGGTTGGAACAGTTCATTGTGTAAACGGCCGCTGATTATTGTTGTTGCATGTAAATTTCTCGCCATTGATGATGTAGTCGTCGCCATTTTTCAATAGTAGTTTTCAACTTTTGCTCTTATCATTCATGATGTTAGTTAAACATACCCACATAGTGACGCATGCAGTCACTCTGCGTTTTCTGTTACGGTTTAGCCGCAAACTTTATTGCGCGCTGCTTAGTAAATCCAGGTTTTAGTATAAGTACTAGTAGCATTTTCGCAGAGTACCTAGCCACCTTACATTTTTCGTCAGCCGCAATAGACAGTTAGTTAATGGCGCTTGGAGGGTATCCACTAATTATTCGAATAGCTTTCCGTGTTCGTAACAATAATGACAATAATAACATAAACAAATCCAGTTTCGTTACCTAATGAAATTTGTCCTGCTACTACTCACTGATCGACTTCCTTTTTCACTCGCCCACCCTCATATGCGGGAATTTCTATTCTCGCTCATCTGTTTATCTGCCTATGGCTTGTTGTTTTTGTTGATGACTACCCGGCGGTTCTACTAGCTGACGGGTCCCGTTTGATCGTTCTAACCGCCTACTCCCGTTCCATTAACTAGCGCTCCCTGGATAATATTACTGCTGTTGTTGTTATTGATGTCACGACGTAGCGAAACGCACGCCAGCGCACACCTCCATTCGACTGGCCTCATCATCATTGCTACTTATCATATCATACCGTATCTTCTAAGTCAAGTTAAGCAGTTCAAGTTCATTCTATGTTTCACTTCTCAGTTGATTTCTAGATGAATTAGACGTAGACAATGGACAATATCAAAACAAATTGCCTATAGCAAGTAGTCTGAGGACGCATAGCGCTCGTTCAGCTTGGGCCTGTACTCACCTTGATTCTTCACTGTTACCGTAGAGCAAGCAGCAGCCGCAATAACTCTGACCACAAAAGATGGAGAGGTTGGGTCGATTTGGGTTGGGTTCTACGATCAGTAATCAGCAGCAGCACACGTCAGTGTTATCGTCTCCGTTGGCGTTGTCGAATGTTTGTCATTGATCCGTCGGCCGGCTTTATTCCTGTTTGGGCTGCTTCCGGAGCCGCAACTCCGTCGCCGGCGTATTCAGCTAGCCTCTTATGCCGCTGTTGATTGATTTTAGCACTCAATCGAACATTGAATCGCATGCCACAGTGCAACGCTAGTACCGCGGACGCTCAATCCGGTCCCGGCGCTGCATCATGTGTACCTCGCACTTCTCACTGATGTGCTGCTTTTTTTGTTATCGTGGCGGGGTTGTGTCGCTGACGATAGCCATCGAAATAGTTCATCTAGCTTGGATGGACAGAGCGACAACAACGACGTCGTCGTTGTCGACGACGACGATAGGTCGCCGCTATTCGTCGTCCGCGTATGCAGTTGCAATCGCCTCCTCTCCTTAACTTTGTCCGTCTGTCGCTCGCGCGTTAGCTATGTTGGCGATGACTATTCGATCTCGATGCTGCCACACTCACACAGCGCTCTTATACAATGAACGTAGTCGGCGACTGCCGCACGCCAACAACAACGACGGCAGCTAGCATGGAGGCAACGGTGCTTATATAGCAGTTCTTGTACTATTGTTGATGATGATAGGCTTGTCTTCTCTTGGGACTGAGTGGCTAGACGACTGTGGCTAGCGCCCTGTCCCGTGGACTAAAGAACGCGCCGTGCGTACGCAGCGGATGAGCAGCAAGCACCTGTTTTTCACCGGCAACGTCGCGACGGACCCGGCCCAATTTGATTGACAGCGATAGAGATATTTTCAGAACGCAACTGTTAACAATACATTGCATTGTTATCGCCCCATAAAGAAGACGACGTCGACAGCTCAATCGTTAGAGTCCATGTTATAAGTAGCGAAGAGAGGAACGTCGAGCTGGCGTGCGGTACAATCGTCGAGTAGTTCGGTTGTTAAGGGCCGGAGACACTGTCAGTAATAGAGGACCAGCAAGCCGTAAGTCGGTACGCGCACGCAAAGCTCGCATTAGATGCCGGCCCACTCAGCGCTGGCTGGCAGTGGCGTCAAGAAAGCATCTAGTTTGTTGTTTATTGCGCCGCGGCTGAGTTCTGCAGCGACAGTAGCGCTAGCGGTAGACCGCCTCTATTCAAACCGACCAAAAAGACACAGCTACAGATTGGACCACACATACTGCAAAAACAGGTGGGCGCAGGCACCCTTGTGTTCAATCGAGACTCAGGCGCTCGCTTGTTCGTTCCTACTCCTTCCCGTGTTCGTTTGAACAGCCTCCCTCCAAACGGCCGTTAGTAGAACGATGATGCAAACAAGATCATCAATGTTATTGTTCGTTGTTGTCAGTGGTTCTTCTATTAAAAGATGCGGCTGCTATCGCTGCAGCTGCAACTGTTATTTTAGGCGATTAAACAGTACGGACGAGGGCAAAGCTTTGGAACAATAAGGCAAACGTATGAACTAAAACAAAACGAAGGCGTCACGACGCGCGACTTGAAGCCAGCTACATAGCGTATTGTAGTATCACAGCCGATAGACTAAACGGCGCCGTATCTTCGTCTCTCATCTTGATACGGTAAGTTCTGTAGTTGTGAATTCCGCGTTAATATAGTTACCGCTAGCTTGATCGTTCTACGCAGTTTTGGCGCGAATTTGTTTTACATTGCGTTGCCCAGTCGCCACCGGTACGTGAACGGCACGGTGTAAATAATAACGCTAGACACCAGAAGTTGGTTATGTTTTTGTTGCTGGTCGAATTATGTCTGTGAACAGTGCATGAAAGTGAATACGAGTCGCCATTGTTCTTAACGGCGTTGCTAATATCGTTGGCTCTTTCGAACTGCTGTCTGATTTAGTGGTAGTTTTAATTTCATTGATTAAACACTTACGTTCAGAACGTTAAAACGATTTTTTCAAGAGCTACGACGGATCTCACGGCCAGTGTTGTAGTTTCAGGCCTGGAAGTCTCCAATGAGACGTTTTATGTGTGCATAATTGCAGACCACAACTGTTCATTGTTTGCGAAGATCGTCACTTGTAGTAAGTCAGTATAAAGCGATAATAACGTGTGAGTGAAGTTGGCGTTTAATTCAAACTTTCTTTGATGTTGATGTCGGTGACAGACAGCATTAATATGTAACAGCTCGAACAAAGTGCAAAATAAACGTTTTTGAGCGGATTTTTACACGGGCGAACGAAAACAGTGTCACCCAGCGATTGTCGTAGACGTATAAAGTAAGCGTGCTATTCGAGCTGGTGTCAACATTGTTATTGCGTGTGGAGGGAATATAATTTATATATTGGGTATTTGTATTGTTATTTGCGTTCCGGTACAAGCGATTGGAACGAGTTCATAAGAATATTCGCTAGGCCGTCGGTGGTATTTCAGTCGAAGCGCATACAAGCATTTGGGCAGCAGTATCACCTGTCGGTAGTGCTTCGCATGGTATAAGGGCTATTTCAAATGTTTCGCGTGTTTTGTTGATGGAGTGCACTCAGCATTTCCACTGTAGTCGTCTATAAGTAGCCCTGGTGCAACTGCATACGTCCTTCGCTCATAGTAACAGCAATGTAGTACAGTTCAGTAATTATGAGTAAAGCATACGAGGTTTATGTAGTTTGAGTATAAGCTGTAGACTTAGACAAACATTTAAGGTACTTGATTTCAACCATAGCCGGAAGTTATTATTAGAAGGCGTTTCCATAAACGCATATAGGGGTGAATGAAATCATTTGTGCGAGATTCAGTTATTTCATTTATTTTTATAAGATGCTTAGATGGGCAATGTAAGTACTTCGGTCCAGTGTGAAAAATAGGAGTTCAGTAATTTCAAAAATAAATTGTTTTTGAATGTAAGCGTCCTGGTGATATTCTCCTCGTACATCGAACATTTCTTCATTAATTAGCTTGAACTTACTAAATGAGCTCAGCGTAGTTTTTCATTGCAGTACTATGTCTGGTTCCAGAAGTTTTAAAGACACGCAGGTCAGCCTTCAATGTTCGTAAATGAGTGACACTTTACAGTATGTCTAGCTCACTTGTTGCATATGATGTTAGTTCAGAATCGGATACGGACGAATTACAGTCTCCATTAAACGCCAAAGCTATGGCGGTGTTAACATCGCAAATCAATGCATCACCGGCTGTCCATTCAAAAGGTTTGGCCAACTATATTGTGCCTGTCGATCCCACGTCGAAACAGCTAATGTATAATCCTCGCTATGAAGACCTGTACGCCACCGAAATTGGACCAGTGAATCCTTTTCGCACTAGTGGTTCGCTTATTAAAAAAAACACATTGGCAGGCTTTGCTGAACCAGCCCACATCAGCGACTACCATTTTGAAGCAGAACGCCGAGCCTTCCACACGCTTGGATACGCCCATGATCCAACGGAAGATGCAAATCCAAATCGGCTCATTGGAGATGGAGCAGCGGCTCAAATGCGTCACGAAAAAGATGGAATTGAGACCCGCAATATAAGCCAGCACAAGGCTTCGGGAAGCAGCGCTATTAGTAAGAAACAGAAACGAATACGTAACGATGAGGCTGGCGATATTGAGGGTTTCCTAGGTCCCTGGGGCGGACTTGTGGGCGAGAAACGTAATGTCAAACCCAGTCCTGAAGAACAGGAGGAACTTAATGCAATTTTAGCCAAACGACAAAAACACATTAATAAGCAAAAAGATGAAGCCGCCGCTGATGAAAAAACCACGCTGCACATCGAAAATCCGCTTGACTATCAAGGACGAAGCTTCCTCGTGGCGCCGACTCATGTTGACGGCGTGAAACTTCGCCCGCCTGAAAAATGCTTCTTGCCGAAGAAGCTAGTCCATCAATGGGCCGGCCACTCGAAAGGTGTTGCATGCATCAAGTTGTTTCCCGATTCTGGCCACCTACTGCTGTCTGCCGGTATGGATTCAAAGGTCAAGTTGTGGCGTTATTATGACGATCGGGCGTTGGTTCGATCGTATGCAGGTCACAAACAGGCGGTACGCGACATCGATTTCTCGTTCGACGGCACTTCGTTCCTCAGCACAGCATACGACCGTTACGTGAAGCTATGGGACACGGAGACTGGTCAGGTTCGAGAACGGTTCACTTGCCGAAAAGTAGCATATTGCGTCAAGTTTAAGCCAGATAGCCAAGATCTTTTTTTGGCAGGCACCTCGGACAAAAAAATTATCTGCTGGGATGTGCGCAGTAACTCAATCGTACAGGAGTACGACCGTCATTTGGGAGCCGTTAACACGATCACGTTCATCGAGGATGGGCAAAAGTTTGTGACAACATCGGACGACAAGAGTGTTCGCGTCTGGGAGTGGGATATTCCGGTTGACATTAAATATATTGCCGATCCAGCTATGCATTCGATGCCTGCTGTGGCGTTATCGCCGAACCGTAAATGGCTCGCGTGCCAGTCGATGGACAATAAGATTATGATCTTCTCAGCGTTAAATCGACTGAAGATGAATAGAAAGAAGGAGTTTAAGGGTCATATGGTAGCCGGGTATGCGTGCGGTTTAAATTTCTCACCCGACCACGCATATCTTGTGAGCGGGGACGCGGATGGAAATATGGCGTTGTTCGACTGGAAGAGTACGCGCATGCTTCAAAAGGTAAAAACATCACCAGTCGTTGAACAAATTCATTGTTGTATTACACTAAATTATATATATATATATAGTAGTAACTATATAGTATATATATATTAACTTGCTTTCCATTGCGTTGACTTCAATGTTCAAAACCATGTCTTATTATAACTCCCTTTTTGTTTCTTCTTTATTACTTCTACAGATCAAAGCACACGATTCAGTATGTATATCTACTTTATGGCATCCAATGGACACTTCGAAAGTAATTACGGCTGGATGGGATGGAGCCATCAAGTTATGGGATTAAGCTGCGCTCTGCTAAAAGAAATCTCGGTATCATTGCGCACCATTTGTACCACTTAATGTAGTTATATGAGCTTTGTGCTCTGCTAAATTGATCACAATTGAGCTTTGCAATGAATTATTAATTATTTATATGTATAAAATAGTTAAGAAACGTAAGATGAAAATAAATGATTATTTCTATAACATATGTGTAAGGCGATAAAAGAGAGATTGGTCAAAACATTTTGCTTAATAATTAGTGTTACAAGCGAGATGCGTTCTTCACTTGCAGCAAACTCAAATGACGCATATTCCCTATTTTTAAGATGGCTAACGAGTAAAACGCGACTTTTGCAAATAATTTGGAAGGAAGATAATGCTGACGTAAGCTAATTATTTTTATCTAGTCGCTGTTCCTCAATCGTTCGTTAACATTTAGAACTCCGGAAATGGATGCATATGCAATAAAGGGCGAAGAAGTCGACATGGCTCAATACTTTACAATTTGATCTCCCTTCCAGAATCACATTCTCGTGCTCATAACGAAGTGCGATACTCGAGTCAATCCTATATATAATCTTCTAAAGTATAGTCATGCAACTAACTTTAAGTATAGAGTTTCTCCGGCACTGTTAGGTAGAGAGTTGCTGAAGCCAGAATTTTATAGGCACTTTGTGATCTGCACAGTTCTTTAATTCGTAAAAATGTCGTAATGGTAAGCAAAGAATTGTACGAACGATTTTAGAAATACTCGCACTAAATGTAATTCGATTGGGATAAACAGAAACACTTCGAGACGGCGAAAACGATAAAGCTTGCGAGCTCAGCATTCTGGTCAGAATAAGGGTGAAGCGTATATGAATAGTGTTGAAAAAATGTATATAAATATATTATTATTTCAATGTACGTTAATAATCTATGTGTAGTCTTTTTTCATCATAATATATCTTCGTAGATTTAGAGGTTTGTTTTTAGCGTCGAAGAGTAGGTATCGACAAATTACTTTCTTTTATTAAAAACGAATTTGGTACTTCCACATACAATTGGAACATTTGACAAACACCTGTGCTCTACAGAGGAATTGGTAAACAATATGGTGTAGACACAGTTAGAATGGCTAGAATTAGGTCATATCTTTAAATGTTCCATATTGGTTCATCAGGAAAAACTATAACAAGGAACGTATAATAGGCGTTAGTCTGACAAGCAATAAGCATTATAATTAATCACAGTTCAGAAATGATGATTTATTTTCCTCAACAGATTTTTTAATGCGGCACGAAGTTGAGCTATGGTAGTGACTGGAAAAGTGTGCCAGGATATCATAACTCTTTCCCTAATAAATATAAATTCTGGTTTATGAAAGTATTTTTGTTATTGATAGAAGAGAAAAAACAACATGTGCCGGAAAACAAAATTTGAGTCCCTCGTACAAACCATACCTCGTGCTGGTAGGTCCCGTAAGAAATACTAAAATCTGTTCCTGTAGCCACATCTTGAGTAAATTATGCAGAGCTTTTTATTACTAAAACAATACTCCTCTAAGTGTACCTTCTGTGAAAGAAACGTCTGACAAATTTCTGCACTTAAAGGTTTTAAAGTATTTCAGCTACTGTTGAAAAGCATGCTTTTTGAAGTTCGAAACAGGTAAGGCTGTTCGTTCGTAAGTTTTGTTTGTGATGGTTAAAAGCGAAACATGTACTCGGAGGGAAACAAGGTGTCGACATAAGTCTGTGTACTTCTAGTCTAACTTATTTTTGTCGTTTGATTATAGAATCCGTTTGAGTACATGGTTCAGAAATTAAGATAAACTAGAAGAAGGTAAGAGGGGCATATCAAGAACAGGCATGACGCAAGGATACTTTTCGCTTAGTATTCCGGTGATAACGATTAATATGTTGGGTTAGCAAGTACACGGTATACCTAGTGAGTAAAATAGCTTATAGAAGCAAATTTTAATACCGGTATATGGATATAGCGGAAACGTATTATCAAACCAGTGACAATACATCCTGCAAGAATTAAATACGTAAAGCGCGGATCTAACTTTATTTTGGACACCCCTCACAATATATGCATTCGTATCAAAACTAAGATGGATTTTTATTGAATGTGTCAGCAAGTAATATATGCTACGAAATATACGATATCTCTTCATGTGTGCAACCGTCTCACTGATTTAGATTTCGCATTCAATGCATGTGACGTTAAGAATTTCAAAGATTCTGAGTAGCTTTTTTATGTTTATATATATATATATATATGTAGCATTTAATCAAAGTAGCAGTTAGCACGACTGCTAGATTGGAGAAGGCTTTCAGTAAGAGCAGCCCGCATACATGAGTTGCTATTGCCTCTGCAGAATCACTGAGATAATGCTTTATCAGTGACAAACGTAAGCGATCTAACTGAGCGAGTGTCCCACTTAGCTTGTAGTTTCTCCTAATGCCAAGCCATTCGTCATCGGAAAAGTGGGATCGTTTCATCTGTTCATCAGTCGTTTTGTTTAGTAGTTAAATGGCGTCTACTGAAGATATAGTACTAACGTATTTGCTGGATCAAAATCGGCCCTATAGCATGAATGATATTTTACAGAACCTACGTCAGGGTATGTGTTTTTTGTTTTTTCTCATACCTTGCATTTTGTACTCTAAGTGTTCTACGCGGTGGCTACACTTTAAAATCAATAGAGATATAAAACATTCTTCGAAACTAACGGACATTGATGAAGATCACAATCTATAATAGCTTAGATATTATCTTCTGTTTTCTCAGGACAGAATTACCTGCTTTACTTAGCCTCTCAACAAGTCATGCACGATTAAAGGTTAGTAAAAGCAAGTGAGAACGGGTACGTCCAAAGAGAGTTTACAGCTACGACTCCATTTCATGTAGAGCTGCTGTCAATAAACCGGCAACCCGGTAAATGCCGATTCACCTACCTTGCTGCCGGTATTTCATCGGTGTTTTGCTTCTCATTTCTGCTGCACGCAAAGGCAGGGCACCAGTAATTTCAGCCTATTTTTATGTACATAGATAGCCAAACACTCAGATACAGCTACATCAGGTTAACCAACCTCTAACCGATAAGCGGATAAAATAAATCTCTTGAAACCAATGCTTGGCATTACTGCTAAGCGTTGCTTGAAACGGCTGGCTCGGACCAGCATAAAGCGGAGTGCGTCGGCGTCCGGTTTCAAAGACTAGCTAACGGTCGTCAGGTTTACTAGCCGGAGCCAGAGAGACCCGTGAAGATCGCCTGACAACAAAGCCAAATCCATGTAATTTGGTAGGCAAACATGTTATCATTGTACAATCACACACGAACAATCCAAGCAGCTAATTTCAGCACAGAAATGATCCGCGCTTAAATGCTCTTATATACTAGCGTGTTATAATTAGAAGAAAGTTCCTCCGATATTTCAGCGGTTGGGAAAGCAGCCTTACTTCGTGACCTAAACGCGTTAGTTGAAAGTGACCTTATTATAGAAAAGACCTATGGAAAACAGAAGATTTATTATGCCAACCAAGAGAAGCTTGCAGATGCAACACCGGAGCAGCTAGCTGAAATGGAAATCCAATGTATCAATCAGGAGAGCCTTTATAAAGTAAGCAGGATCAAAATTGATTTTCCGTTTTCGCCATTTGTTAATTAGGAATTAGTAATTACTATCATAACAACACACCTACAAATACTTGAGTTGTTACATTAAGGTTACGATTAGTAGAAACATATGGCACAAAAATAACATGATGTAGCGATGGCTTGAAATTTTGTAAACCTAAGATAAATGATCAACTGAACAGTTGCTACTTCTGATCTAGTTTACCATCGAAATAATCGTATGTCCGACCCAATATCTAATTGGTAGTTGCCGAATAAAGACCACAAACATATCGGAACATTCAAGTAAATAGAGAGCTTCACATATCAATCGATTTTGAGGCATTTTTACAGGAAAAGCAGCAAGAAACACTTGAACTTCAGGCTCGGATAAAAGTACTGCAAAAACAGTTCTCAACAAAAGAATGCTTAGACCGCACCGAGGCGCTTCTTCGCGAAAACGAACAACTTCAGCGCAAGATTCAGAAACTGCAAATTAACGGTAGGCTTCCAACAAACTAGGCAATTTTCCCGGTGTGTTATAAGAAAGGGTTTAATTATTTTCGTTTGTTGGCGTCGATGGCCAAATGCAATACTAAATATCATTTGATATATAGTGCAAGATGATTTTTGATATGGTTTTTTTTCGGATTTATGTTATGATCTACTGGTGTTAAAGTGACGGCGCGCCTCACATCGCTTGAAACACGTGACCTTAAATTGACTACTAGTAACGTAGTCATTCGAGTTACTGCGCATAATTAACCTAACAAGTGAATGGGTTGTTAAAAAAATTGTAATAGCTAATAACTTTATGTAGGACACAAATTGTGGAGCTTTCAGTTTGTATTTGTCAGTTTCCAGACTTAATAAGTTATAATACAGTTTCGGGCTTTTATTACCGAGTGCGCGAGATGGTAAACCCAGACAGCAACCGGCTAAATTAAGTGTAAAATATAATTGTTTTATTAGTTATAGCATGGTCGCCTTACACAGATGGGCTTAATAATATACATTATTTTATAAGAGATATCGAAATTTGGTGCCATTTCTTAACATGCTTTGTGTGCTAACATCCGATAAAAAAGTATCTGTGTCCAAACCTTTTTACATGCATTTTAATTAGGTGCAGAGAATAATAACCAACAACACCGACTGCAGCTCGAAGAATCAAGAAGACGAGGTGTAATGGAACTACAAAGACGGCGTAAAATTGCCGAAAATATTATAAACCGCGTACTCGACAGCGGTTACCCTGAAACCATGAAAGAGCTAACGGAAGAGCTTGGATTAGAGATCGATTCGCCAGCGAAATTTTCATGAGTCCAAATAGAGCCGCAAAAACGAAAAACGCATTCACAGAAGAATATCATCTAAGCAAATAATGCAAATTCAAAAAAACTTAGGGAGGCATAACATTTAATTATAACATAAACATAAGCAAGTTCATTGAAATTTCTATATAGATTAGTTAATTAGACTAGCTAAAACAAGCCAGTGGAAGATTGAAGCCAACGGAGTTTTGTCAAATTTTATAGGATTTACAGATTCCTTATAATAATTGAGTATTGTTTACTTATGAAGCGATCAAATATCAATCATCTCAAAAATGGACTTGACACATTTTCTAATATGGCATATTTCTTTATAATTGAGGTAAAATAAAGTGAAAATGAAATAAAACTATGCGATCAAATCATTTGCTTATGATACCGTTTGATAGATCTATATTTAAGACTAAAAAACATTGTAAGTTTTTTCAATTGACGTTTCTGGCATCATTGATAAAGTTCCATTTGAATGCAACGCCTGGGCACGTATCCAGTACGAATATGTACAAGTATAAATCTATTTTCAGCGTAATTTATCAACATTCCCCTATCTAATTATTTTGAACTTCGGGCATAGAACCGCCATTAGGCGTTCCATCAGACGGAACATCCACCTGCTTAGAAACATATAAAGGTGCAGCATAAATTGTCGGCCACATAGGACTGTATATCGCCTATGATTAGATTATGCATTCAGTGTAACGCTAAACCGATTATAAAAGTTCCCGTCTACACCTTTGGTCCAATTCGCAGTTGCCTCAAAGGCTTCCAAATTCGTACGAATGTATTCCTATTTTTCTTCTTAGATTCGATTATCAGTGTCTATCCCATATTTACCTCAATACATCCTTCGACATGAAGCAACACACCGTTATTAGTAATAATTATTTTCCAAATACGATTTTCTCCGAAAGTAATACCATACACATTATACAATTGCCTATTGCGATATTTTTAAATGTAAACGGAATAATAAATAAGTATAATTTTTATTGAATGTCCAACTACGCACTATTTGCCAAACAGGTGTACCAAAAACGTTGAGCTTCCCGACTAGCGCCACTTCTATCGTTGACCGTAGGTCAATTAGAAAAGGCCATGCTTCAGAGGCGATAGGTATGTCATTCTGCGTAGACGGAAAGTCACAAAATGAAAGGAAATCCAGCAAACATGTTAGTGGTCATCTGTAAAAAAATGAATAATTTTACTTTTGCAATGACCGCTCGGCGACGTTGTTTCCCGTGATGTCAACCAAAATTCAGATGCATTATGTCGCTTCTAATTATACAGCTTCAAGTGAATCATAAGGAACGTTATAATAATGGGGCAAATCACAATTAATGAAGTTGCACCTGTAACTGATCCCGTAGCTCGTATTGTTACAGCAGGATGTTTTAATTCAATTCACCAATAACTGTCAGAGCTTAAGACGCGCCGGATTACAACTCAAAAACAATATATAACTCTAACTTGGAAGTGAATTAGTCACAACCTACTAACACCAAATCAGATAAAAATGACGTTATATATCTGAATAAATTTTAATTAGAATGTAAACCAGACACCACACTGAATGACGGCCATTGCCCTAAAAGTCGAATGGTCTTACCTCTTCGAGTGTCGATGTATCCTTTACGATTAGTAATAAAATATAAGCGTTTGATTTACATCTAGAAGAAAAACCTTATTATGACGTTTAAGCACTTGGTTCAAATATCTATGACCTATTGTATAAGGTGTTCCGCTCGTGTGTTGGTGCCTAGCAAAGGTGCTTGCTTAAAAATTAGGTTTTTTCAAGTAAACGTCGGTGTGATTAAAGCCATGATATATATATTTTTTTTAATCTAAGACGCTTACAATGCTGCTTTAATTATGTTTCAAATAAAATCCTTTTCGAGTTTGGTTAGTTGATAACCAATCCTGGTTGTCCTCTACCAGAGAACAGTTTCATTTCCATAACAGCACATATATATGTATATATAGTTTTTATTACCAATTTGTACATTTCGAGATGATCAATGAAGCCAGACAGGAATATACGCTAAGTGAAAATCTGAACACGCAAGGCGTCGGAAACCGTGCTTCTGATTGACTTAAATGAGGATTTCTGGGAAGGAGGAAACCCATGAATCAATTAATTGATGCTCAATTATTACGTAATATGTGAGAAAAGAAAGCAGTAACCAACAAACAATTTGCTCACATGTTCTGGCTCGACGGGTAACGGCGTCGAGGTTTGAAGCATCGCGGAAGTTTTTTACATTCAGTTGTTTCATTATTATTGAGTTCAAATAACAAACATTAAAAAGAAAAAAGTAGCTACGTGGGTACATGAATCCTATTAAAAAATCAATCTTCACAAAACGGCTACGTATTGTATTTGCATAACCTACCCGTCACCTAGCCTTCAGCCTAATATATGGACAATGAAACACAAAAGAAGATAACACATTATAAAAAGCATTATTCCAGCATCATATGCAAAACTCATGAAAAATAAGGTCATGAGAAATGACACAAAAGAAAAGTTCTGCAAAATAAAAACGCTGCAATAGAAGTTGCAAATTTATCTCTGCTACCTTTTTTTCTTCTATGTCCTCCTGTACACGTGACCGACCATTATACGTTAACTTTAAATAGTTATGCGATGAATGAATTAGAGCTAGAGATGCATGGGTGTAACTTCTTAACAAGTTACAGTTTGATCCGACTTGACAATTAACAAAAAACGACGATGGCTGCAAATTAAAAATGATATTAGGGATATGTAGCTCTTTAACTGTCTCGTTATGGTAAAAGGACGGCCGGTAGAATCTCCTGGGAGCGTCATTCAAACTACAGTCGATACATTTCGAGAGAACGTAATAGGTTAAATTCAATATAAACAAGCTAAATATCTTCACAATCGACTGTGCGAATGCGCACTATTTTGAAATCAAATTGATTCAAAAAATTAGAATCCCGTGATGGAAACTTTTTGAAGAGGGTAGTTTAGGAGCAAATAGCATACTCACGAAGCTGACGTGGAAGACTCTGCCTGATAAAAGACTGCGAAATCACTGATATCACTAACCAGTGTCTCCATGTGCGAAAGAAAAAAAACATGTATTGTATTTAATTTGAATACATTTCCAAAAGTTAGCGCAGTATTGTATTATACATGTATACGGTGGTTACCAGTTTCAAGGAAATTGCCCAGGTACGTAGTGTAAGGAGAGTCAAACGAATGACTCAATTCGATGCAGTACAACTTCCTATCTTTTCAACCTTCTACTATGATATAGCAGATAATTTTTCTATGAAAAAATCGACCACTGATTGTACGCGTTTGCTGCGTGCTTTGCTTCTCTTTGCATCGATATGGTTTTATGTTCCCCGAATACATAATAATTCGCTTTTTTTCTTACCTTTCGTCAGCCTTCTGCTGGGCCTCTTTAAAGAAACACCGCTATTTTAAATGAAAATAATTATAATATTAGCTGAGGATTAGCAGAAAAAAGCCCACTTTACGTTCTATTGAAGAGACAAAGATACTTCCATTACTTTAGAAGTATAAGAAAATGCAAGGTTTGTGTTTGTCAAGATCGACTCAATTATTATAACTCGTCCAATTATCAAAAAGCACGAAATGTCCTAGTATATCTGTCTGTTCCATACCGAGACATATGTCTGTGACCGGTTTAAATGGTCTTGCAATTTCCTGTTTGGCAGCACACAAAGGCCAATTTGGTGTTCGTATTGTGCTCTGTGTTGAGCACTATTGTTGACATGTTGCGCATAATTCATCTTTACTTAATAAGAACGTAAAAACCAGCATTCTCTAAATAACCCAACACATAAATAATCAGTAAGCGATTCATATAAAGTGTGTTGTATTAGGCCCGTACTATTTCTGCACATACAGCCGTTTTTTGGCATACTCAAAGGCGCGCTTATTTACCTCGTTGAAAACCGTGTATCACCAAGGGCGTCTGTAGAGCTATATGCTGCTGCTAATAATGAAGATACGCTATAGGCAGCATATTCATCACCAGATTTTAAACAAGGTAAATCCCTAGTTTTAAATTACATACGTATTATGCATAATCTTAAATTATTATACACAAACAAAACTATACACTAAAGACCTTGAATAGATGCAAGGATTTCTCAAGTACTTTATATAATTTTCTTTGGCGGACTGTTTGTCGTAGCAGGCATTTATTTATATTACTTAAGAAAAAAGCCGGCTCTTTCTGGAACAAATATCTTCTAGAACAATGCAGTCACCATGGCGAAATAAGGCTGTCACGATTAACAAACTTCCTTTTTTGCCGGAAATCGACCATTACGTACGAAAAATCTGAAGCAGGCTTTTAAAAGGTAGATCAGACAATTTTCAAGAGTTCAGATTTGGGGGGTTCAGAAAATTCATTAAGCATGGTTCAAAAGAAAATTTTAGGTAGCAAAATCGAGTATCATTGGCGCGGTAGGTTTATCACACAGACTGCAGGAACGTGTAAACAGTAGAGACCGTTATTTCGAACACTTATGACATGAAGCTTCAACCATGTTATTCCAATATAAGTCAATAAAACCATAGAATGACTACAGCCGTGATTAATATAGCTGTTGCACTTTAAATATTTATCAAAATTATGACATCGTAACATAGGAATTATATGAGTGGTGATTAGATATCTCGTTCACGAGTGTCGTGCGTGGGTAAACCTGCTTTTCATTTCAATTATTTGCCATATATTATTAAACTACATCCTGTATGCTGAATCATCTCGAATCTGGACTGTGCGATATTATTACGGGAACCATCCAGAAGTGGGTTCACGGCCTACTAGGTTTGCTTGAGTTGTCCTCTGGAGGACAAGCCGAAAATGAAATGCTATACGCCAATTTTTTTTTTGGGTCTTTTTGGACTTATCTGCATCATTTCCCAACAGACCTATAAAAAAGATCATTAACAATATGCCGGTAATCATTTGCAAGCGATGGCCGCATTTTTATGATTGTCATAGGAAGACAACCAAAATGATAGCTATTAGCTACTCGGATCACGACACCCCTTACCGATATCGCTTGATGTACGCCTGCTAATTGCGGATTAAAAAAAAACCTTTGAAAATGACTAGTTAGAGGTTGTAGATGCAATCGAGGTGAATTGTGGTTGTATCGAATACAAATGACCACCAAAAATTACCATCCAAAAAGTTTTGATGAAATATCTGTTTTTGTTTAGATACAGATTCAAAAACCTATAAAGAAAGTTTGTCTTTGCATGATTCATTGCATAGAGATACCTATCAATGTTGCAAATGTCGTGGGAACACGTAATCAATGGTACAGTACATATAAACATGCTAATCTCTGCCTATAAGATATTTATTTCTAAGAACCATCTAATTGTGAATCACTCTGTGTTTTAGGACGTTGCAATGGCACTGCACCAACTTACTTGATACAATCACATTGAGTTAGAAGATTATCTGTTGATGTCTTCTAACGGATACGGAAGATTATTAAGATGATGAGAGCTGTAACAATTGAAACTTTTTTATTTAGTATTTTAAGAAATGTTCAGAGTAGACAACATTTGCACTAAATGGTATAGTAATGTAGCAAATAGAAGAAAAAGCAGCCCACAATTGTTATGAGGATTTTTTGCTCATAAATATTCGGGAAAATTTAACACTAGGTCTCTTTCGCAAAACATTCGTGCTGCGAGTCGTTGGTGAATTGTGATAACTGTATGCAGCTTACATATGTTCGTAAATAGTGACGACTACTAATCAACCATATATATTCTCATGATTAAGTTCGTTAAGTTACTTTCGTTCATCAAACTGCTTGGACGCGGCTGATCCAACACGCAACGCTTGTTCAGAGTATAATTATTCAACCCTTCATAGATAAGAGATACCAATTTACAAATCTGATTATATGCTGGTTTTTATAGTTATAAGTAAATTGGAATAAGGTTTAGCGATCATACCGCTTGATTGAATAATGGTATAATATTTAGTAACTCATTTAGACTCAGTAAACGTATATTTACTTAAGTGACTGAAACGAGGAAAGCTTTCTCAAAGGAACTTTTACAAAGAAATAAAAAAAATGCCCCTTTCATATAAACCAAGGTCGCGCATATAGCTAGTATGCTCAATAAATGTTTACTCTTGTGTACGATAAAAACGGTAAAACAAAATATACTTTATATTTGTATTTTTATTAAACGTCAATGCTCTGCCCCCTATGTATGATGTAATTATCACATTGTTCAAGGCAAATTAAGTTCAGTTTTATGCTGCTTCGAGCAGAAAATCTTGTGTCACGTAAGCTTGATTTAATCCAGAGGTACCACAGCCTGTAACAATTTGAAGTTTAATGTGACGTCCTCATAGATCGCTATAGCCTACTGTTTTTGCTACCGTAAGTCTATATCTCCTCCTTAAAAAATTGACTTTATGTACGTAAAAATAAGTAGATCCGACAATGTCGTCAGTATAAGGCATATAGAAATTGCTCTAAATAGCAGACGTTTTATTATGCAGCACAGATGTCAATAACAGTTTCTCCAGTATTGCCATAATAACGTTGTACTTTATTGTTAATATTTTTGTAGTAGATATTGGAGTTTTTCCATCATTTCCAACTTTTAAAGATGCTATATTGTGAATAACGCAAATGAGTATCGGTACTGCCAATTCAGTGATGAACAGAGAGCTTTCGAATTACTTTATCAAATCAATGTCCGTTTTTCTTTACTGTTGACTAAGAGTTTGTGATTTTCTAGCAAGCGATAACTATTGAATTCTGTTTAAAAAAAAAAGCCTTCATTTTTTATAAAAAATTGATTTGTTATGTAATATGTTTAAATGGAATTCTAACAATCAAACCATTACGATCCTAGGTTAGACTCAAATTTAAGCTCAGTTTAATTAGACCTTAAGAGTTATTTATATTAAATCGACATTCGCACCCCTTCAGCCAGAAGAATGATAAAATTCGGCAAACAGGTTTTGGCTCGCTAAAAATGATGGCAAAGAAATCATCAATTGCGGCCATCTATAATTCTTGAATGATTGATTTTTCTATTTTTTGCTATTCGTCGCATTGTTTAAAGCGGAAAGATGTAACACTGTTTCAATTACCCATAATAGTATAAAGGAATGGTGCCGATCAATAAATTTGCTATCTCGTGCATCATGAAATGCATCGCACATTTTATGGCTTTATCTTAAAATTAATTCTCAGAATATTTAATGGATCACCTAAAAATATATCTTGTCTAATACCGATCCAAATTTAATCGTAAGCAAAATAAAGAAACAATGGTTTACTCGATCACTCAAATGGTTTTGCATTTTCCGTATAAAAATTTTATCGAAAAAAATCTCTAACTGCAAAAGTGTTGGTGGATTATCCGTCGATGACCTACTTAGTCTACCTAGTGTGTGGGTCGGCGCTGATCAGCAATTTATAAACCCAATACAAAAAGGCACATATTAATCTCATCACACATGACCGACGGTTTCTACATTATTTTAAAGCACAACTGTCATCGATACATATCAGTCTTTGACAACCCGCATTACGTTCTGAAGAGTACTTTTCCGCAGGCTTGTACGAAAAGGCCATAATGCTGCGGTTAGAGCCAGTAATAATTTTCTGAAATCCCTAACCGTAACTGCGCTCTGCGTAAATTTAAACTTACATGCAATGTTTCAAATGGTTTCATGTTATATGGAAACCGTAGACCGAACCGTGTACCCCAAAACTTAGCTACTGCTTAGCAGCCAATTCATTTTGTGTGAAAGCCAATCGAACGCAAGGCATACATACCATTTACTTCGATTTCTCAACCACTTTATAAAGACTTCCTCCGGTGTCGCCCAACAAGAGTCGTCCACTTATCGGTCGAAAGCTTTGTATTAGAAACATTGTCTTTCTTAGCTACCTCAGTGCGTTTGCCAACGGATAGCTCTACACTACAGTCGGCGGAATAAGATAAGCCTTCTAACTGTCAGACCATTCATGTTCTTAGGTAAGATTCGTCTTCAGTGAAACCGGTTAAAACGTGAGTATTGTGAATTCATTTCTTCACGGAAGCGCCATTTCGAATGGATCAGTTCAAAGACCTGACTGAGCATTTTTAGGGTTCCAATTAAGGGTTAATCTTCCAGTAATTGCTGACAAGTGTATTACCGATAGGTTTCTTACAGCGTAGTTCTTCGCGCTGTTAATAAACTTTAAAAAATAGGATTTTGCTGGTTTTCACAAATTGGATTTCAGAAACCGTGTGTATTTTCCAATAGCTTTTAGAAAACAACAAGGACGAGTGGTTTGTTACATAGTTAGCCTTAAACTCTGTCAGGTATTTTTAATAATTTTAAAACAGCTATATACATGTTCTAATTAAAAATAAATCGGAATCGCCTCGAAGTGGTTACACATAGGTTACATATGGTTCTAGCGATAAGTTAACAAAAGATAACACCTTGATTTAAATTTTTTCTCGGTCTTTGGATATGTGGTTTAGGTCATGGTTCTATTTGTTTCAATGATTGCTTCTATTCTTCTCAATTAGGTTTTCCTAAATTCTTAGTCCTTTGATGCATTTGCTATTCCAATTTATTTCCGTTTTATTCATGAATCTTACAAACGCATAACAATAATAATACAAACAATAATACTCCTTAGAAAGCGTATAAACTAATAATAAGTATAAAAATATAAACTATGCTTTGGGCTATGGAGCGTAAGATCGAACTATATTATAGATCTGAAATTTTGCTCTCCTCAACAGGTGTCCGTTTGTCGATTCATCAAATCATGACTTCATTGAAGTTACAACATCTTTCGTCGCTGTTACTATTAGTCCTATTAGGTGTCTGTTCCCACCATGCAGCAACAAACAGCTTGATGCCAACGGTTCCATGTGGAAAACCATCTTACCGCGAAGCGCGTATCATCGGTGGCGCACCTGCGAAAGAAGGCCAGTTTCCGTGGCAGGTAAGTACTGAGTAAGGTAATGCTAATGCAGTCTCGACTCTTGAGGAAGTGAGCTCGAACCTAGTAAGTTGCCAAGGCTCACAACAAACACCATTAGCTGCTCGAAACGCATGTGTATCATGCATTGCCGACGCGGTAAGGACGCATTGTCCAATGGTGGTGCAGTGGTAACTTATTTACCTATCAAAGCTAAGGACATTTGTTTCATCCAAGTTCGTCCTGGAAAAAGCCAATGGAAAAAACTAAAGCAATACCTAAGTAACGTCGTGAACAGGACATAAAATCCAACTTGATGGCGTTTCTATACAATCTTGTCCTTCTTTTCTAGGACTTATGGCTTTTTCGAGATGGCATATATTTCATGTTCGTTCAGTTTCCGATTAATACTTCTATACAAATAATTATCAGCAACTAGTTCATCGAACTGGATAGGTAACCGATCATTAAGCTCTAAAAAAGCAATCGATGGTCGGTATGAGGGTACATACTCCTCAAGAAGAGTGCACTTTGTTCGTTGTGAAATATGAGGTTTGCTTTCCTATTACCAAATTAATGTGTGATCTAGGCAATATGCCGAATCTATTCGTACACTACTGCACGACATTAAAGCAAAGACCAAATATAAACAAGTAACGGCAGGGGAGGGGGCACAGTTTATGCTACGTGTGTTTCGGAGACTTTTTCTAAAGGATCCTCACATTACCGCATTTTAGTAGAACTTGCTCTGTACGCGGCGGCGCTGTTATGGCCATGAATCGTTTAAAGTGCGTTCTGTTAAATTATTTTCGTCGCTTCATGAAGATGTATAAAATTATCAAGTGGTGCTTCAAATAGCGATTAATTGGGTGTATTGTTGTTGAAACCTGCACAAACAGTCGATAAATTTATTACGCATGAATTTGAATGTTCCAGTTCATAATATTCCAACTCATTTACAAAATATACGCGACTGTCCTTGGCGACACGGATGTGATTAGTTTATCAGTTGTAGTTGAGAAATCTCCGGGTCACCTTTTATGTTACTTCTCCAAAGATTTATTACCTTTAATTGATTGAACAATGAAAGACGAATCTAAAACGTATATACATCACGCATTTTCACCGTTTGGCGTGGCCGTAGTAGCGGTCACCTCAACAATGATGCAATTTCATGCCCTTTCTGATTATAATCATGTTCTTTCAGCTATTCATTTTCTGCTAACCACCCATAAAGCCAATTCGAGTAGTCCTATAAGAACTTTTTTTTAGTACAAATAATTTATATATATATATATAATAATCGATGCTGCAGTACTTTTTTCCCTATTGATTTGTCACCAATGTACGGGTTTACAGATACGGATTCCGCCGTAAACTTTTTGAATATAGTATTTAGGACACTGCTTTTTCGGTAAAAGTGTCATCCATCATAAACCGCCCAGCCCTAGAACTTTTTCGGCGGAGCTTCGTCGCTTTAAGCATATTCTTGACAAGCTGGAAAAATATATTGTTGCGATAAAACCAAGCAACAACTTAAAGATGCATATTACAAGACACTGAAGGAGTATTGGTCACATGCTGGTTAAAACTGTCGCAAAGGTATTGGTCCGACTACAGTGCCTTGTATTAAATCGCTGTGGCGTCTCGTTAACAAATTCTGCGTCAATATTAGACAGGCTTGCCCATCAAGAACTACGGAACCTGACGGCATCAACTTTCGAAGGCTATCATGAAGTAACTGAATTATTTACGTCTTTTTCGCAGAAGTGAGTTTGACCCTGACAGCTCACTTGACTCACTGACTATGATATGTTTTCTGCCAGCGTACGCTTTGACGCTCGCTTAAAACGCCTTTTCCTTTTCTTTTTTTTAATTTGTCGGATATCAGCAAAGAACCTGTTTTATCACTTGGCATTTCCATGAAAGCCGACTTCACTGGCTTACTACTGATCCGCCCAGAAAATACTGCACGTAACTGCCTGGCCGCTGGCGCGTATACTTTGCTCACCTCTTCAGGTCTCCATCTTTCCAGCATCGTTAAAGGTCTCTCAAGTTACCCCTCAATTTAAGGGTAAGGGCGGCTGTGATAGTCCCACAACCTATAGACCCATAACTATAATCCTATACCAGTGCAAAACTTTTTGAAAAATAATTTAAGCGTCAGCTTAAAATCCGCCTGTTATTTTTTAACATATTTTTAATTTTTTTCTAAATTCGTGATGGCTTTACTTGTTCGTTCTCCTGGAATATGGCTCTTTGTGATACCTATCATGATCAAACACTCGCTCTTGCAACCGAGGAAACACCTCTACTGTAACCTTATTTGATGTCGCAAAGGCTTTTGACACAATCTCCCGTAATGTCCTTTCAAAAAAGTAATTTCCTCCAATAACTCTTTTCCTGTAATTTGCGATTGGCTCAGATCTTATTCGACCAACCTCTCCGCAACTGTACGCATTAGCAACGCGGTCTATTGAGACGTAAATTCCGCAACGTTCAGTTTATGCCCACTTTTATTTGTCCTTTATATGAACATACTGCTACTTCACATCGAGTCCCATGGACAGATATCGTGCCGTTTGTTTTGCCGCGGATTTCGCCCTCATCAGACAGATTCGCAAATCGTCCACAAATGCAGACACCTGTGATCTTAAAAACAAATTGGCTAACATTAAATATGTTTATGATATACTTGGCCTTACTGTAAACATTTTAAAACCAAGGCTTCACCAACATACCAAGCGCCTTAGTCGATCTTGATAGGACAGTCATTCAGTTAACTTCATCCGCACGGTGCCTTGGCTTGACATTTAGAGTGGGCTAGTGATTTCCTCAAATTACGCTCAAAATGCTCTGTTTGCATTGTTATGCTATTTAGTATACGAGTTGGAAGTCTGCGCTAATGGACATTTCTGAACCTTTGTGGATTTCTTCTTGAATCGATAATTACATACGCTATTGTGGTCTAAGGCGTCCTTTCAGCATTTATATATAATGTCAAGGGTGTATCATGATGCCAGATCATCAAGGCTTGCTCATATACCAAGTGTTTTGAATAAGCATAGAACTGCTACTGGGTGACAATTGCACACATTTCGAATACTCCAGTCGATGCACATATTTAACACGAACCAAATTGCATTTGATTTCCACCACCGTCCGTCTAGTTATCCTTTTGGAAAGGACCATAGGACGCAACTGAGCGCAGGAAGTACCTAGTCAATTCCCCGAATTGTGAGGGGAAATATATTTGGATTTCTTTACCATTCTATATTCGTTACATAGAAAGTTCTACCCTTAAAGTTACTAATATTTATTAGACATCTCTAGCAATTACTTAATTTTGCCGCTGATTTTGTTGTTGCCATATGCTGAGTGTGTTACACGAGACTGTTTTTATGCCCTGGTTAATCTCAGTCTATTCACGCCGTTTTGGGGCTCGTATGTTAGATGATGTTTAAAAATCACACGAATTTATAAATAGTTAAGTAAGCAGCCGTCGATAAATTTAAACTGTTGAATACGATAATTGAGTTGTCTGCCGTTGTTGAGCGAAATAGGCGTCGTATGCACCAGTTAAATCGATAAATGCGTTATCAAGCTTTGTAGGAACATGTCTTGTTAAGAAGTGACCATTATATATATTTTTCCAATATTTTGACAGCAGCATTCTTAAGAAATTATTCTAGTTAGAGTTAAAAAAGGTACCAATAAAAAGTCCACTTTTTATCATCCACAACCAAGCCATGGATTATGGCATCAGACTCACCTGTCCGTCTGTTACCTTCAGGCCGAACCTTGCATTTTTTTAACGTATTAGAGTGAGTTACTTTTAGCCGAGTTTTATTTTGCTGGTGCATCAAAGAGCATCATATTCTGTATTAAGAACAAAATGAAGAGTGCACAAGCGGAGCCTAGAGACAATTGTTCGTCCAATCACTTAAGACAGATATTACAAAGTAAACTTGGGAAAAAGCAATTCATATTGAAGGACGCACGAAGTACTTTTAAGCAGCTTACAGAAGATTCAGGCACCTTCACACGAGTCGTTTCGGACCATTTCGGAAAATCGTTTCAAGCCAAAGACCCAGGGATTATGCCGAGATGCTTAAATTTTGAGCAAATGTAGACCAGCTATTCGGAAGACTTAACGCACTTAAAACGATCTAAGGAGAAAAGTACAATCGTCTACCCGTATCGTGTTTTTGTAGCAAAATTCAATAACTGCGTAGCGTTAAGTATCGATTTCATTGAATATCTATAGCCTTTGTTACTTTTTCCTCATTTTAAGGCTCAAAAAACACCAGAAAAAAACTTTGAGACAATCGAAGAAGTTTAAAAAATGATGGAGCGAAGCTGAGTCTGAAAACGTTCTCAACATCTAAGAAAAGGTGGTATGTAAGCATTGAGCATAGCTTAACTTATTACGAAAAGGACAACTGGGACTTCGAAGGTTGACGCGTGTGTAGAGTTGTCACAGAGCCCGACTTTTAATATTATTTAACCTAAAGGAATTTATGGCTGTTACTATTTGTTTCAAAAATTTCTTCAGCTCCTGGCGAAAACCGGCCATTAATGTTTTTCGCACGACATAATGCAGTCCACGCAATTCCTTGTTTTTCTGTATATAATCGCGGGTATAAAGATGGGTTCTAGCCACTACATTTTCGAAGTAGCGGTAGTTTCTATTACAGACTTCAGCGTTAACGATGAACATAGAACTGGGAATGGCCGAGCGTTTTATGCTTTGCTTGAAAAAATAGAATAGCGAGCAACTTTTTCCATTCAAAAGAACTTTACATGATTCGTGTTGTATAATCTTCTAATGTTCATTTTAGTAATATGCATTGGTTTTTGATGTCCTTCTGTGATAAATTCTTCCTCTTGACATGCAGGCGTCTTCTTTGGGCTTTTCAGAAATAGCGTGATAATTGACTATGGCATAAATCGCTGACTTGAGGTGTTGAAGGAGGTTCGTAATTATAGACATGCTGCGTTTTACATGCAAACATTTGACGTCATTTGCTTTCTGGGTGTGTTTTTGACTTGGCCATAATCATATTATTATTGTATTGTACATAAAACAGACTTTTTGTAGAACGATTCGCAAACATGTACGGTGCGACTTACAATTAAAACCTTCCATAGCGGCTCCACCATACACATACATGCAAATAACGTTATAGTGAGAAAAGTAAAATGGTACCTAGATAGTCTCGAACTCGGACATAAGTACTTTACATATACTGAACATAATACGTCACACCGATACAGTCACTTAGTGACTCAGAGTCGTCTTTAAAGTTAGGATATCTATGTTGCTATAAATTATATAGTATGAAGTCCCAGGAGAGGTGGCCGCGATAATGTACCCGCTTTTTCAGACAGATCAGGTTCTGTGCAACGTGTTAGCAAAAACGAAAGCGACTTTTGAGGGTAAATAGGTGATAATGACATAATAAAATTACCAAGAAAAATGTAACTTAAATTGGGCATGTTACAAACTAGCTTCCTAAAACCATTATGTGAAGCGAAATTGTAATGAACAACAGTTACGCGTATATGATGTGTAAATGGATTTACCAATACAAGGAATGCCAATTAACATATTATATACGACCATTGTGCAAATAAAGATGTCATTCGATTCAAACTCCAGGTGATTCTTGGCAGATACCGCAGGGCCGTTTGTGGAGGAGCAGTAATATCACCGAACTTTGTCGTAACTGCCGCACACTGTTTACAGGTGGGTGACTAGAAAAGTACAGTATCTAAACTGCAGGTTTTACTAGATAGTGAATATTGTTTTACTCCGCCTCATAAAATAGTAGTCAAGATGTTTTTAGCGTTACTTTGTTTCTCTATGCGTAATATCTATGCACAATTTTAATACTTACGTCGAAGTAAAACACTTAGTTTTTGTTGTAACGTGTATTCGTGGGTGACAAAGGGTGTGTATATGTATGTGTGTGTTCGAGCGCGTTCACCATCTGCAGAACCCTCCTCATGATTCTTGTGATTTTTCGGTGTGTACTTAACAAGACCAGTCACTAGAAGACATTGGCAGAAAAAAAATCAGTTTCATACAGTACAGCATTATGTAGAAACGAATAGAAACTAATATACGTTTACACTTGCGGTATCATCTGAACAACGGTTAAGCGTTTGTGAATCATTCAAATGTAACCGTAGATTTTTTAAAATAAAATCTTGTCAAGTTTTACAGATAGGCATAAACCTTGATTTGAAAAAAATAAATTTTCTTATTTTTTCATAGGTAATAGCTTTTCAAGGGTATAATATTTTCCAGAAATATTAATATTACTTGCAGTATCACGGAATTAGTAGCATGCCATAGTTAAATATTTGACTCCGAGTTACCCGCAATGAAAACAATGAAATTTCCGAAAGAAAAACACGGTGATACGAAAATACGAGAAATTCACAAACGGGTTGAATACTGCGTGGGCTATACTACGACAGGCAACCAGGAGAAATCTTCAAAGAAACAACAACGATAACTCGAATAAAATGATAGAACAACTGCAATTAGCAGAGATCTAATAGTCGAGTTTATCAGATCTCAATTTGCCTCAAGTTTAGAAAGCAAATGGAACGCCTTAGGCAGAGGCTAATAGGTATGTTTAGTACAAACCATGTGTATAACCCACACTATTTAAAGGTAAGCGTGGGCCAATGTTACCTATAACATCGAGTCGAATAAAGACAGTTCACATATGTATGGAAAATTTTGACAAAGCAAATTAGTTTCAAAAGTACGTTCTTACAGTGCGGATAAATATTCGACTAGAGCTTGTAGCTTTTTAAGATCAGATTTTAGCGATCAGACATTGTAGCTAAAACAGTGACATATACTCTTATTGGTGTTGGATGTTATTTTCTGATGATAATAAATAGGAACGTGACTCAGCAGTATACCGTCTCATCACCGGGACCATCCGGAAGGGCGACTTCGGAGTTTCTCCTTCGAGTCAGATGCGCAAGGTCTGTTCTTACCAACGGCAAGTAACGCGTGTTCCACTGAGAAAACATAATGGCAGTTTCAAAATATTTATAACTTTAAGGCTTCCTAAACACATGATGTCTTTTATTTTGATAAAAATGTAGAAGAGACATCCACGAGAACGATTAGGCTGTTACAAGCGAACCTGGTGGTATTCGAAATTAAATAACTTTTGAACTAGATGATGAAATTTGGCGGGTAAATACTGCATTATTTTAGAAACCTATGGGTCGAAGCCGATTGAGTTTATTCCGGGAGAAATGAGTTCATAAACAAGAATATCTTTTAGTCTCAAAAACCAACACTCAATGGTTAGGTTTGTCTTCCTTGAACGCCACAGCACTGCAGAAACCCATCAAAGATAGGTCAAGACATTAGGTTAGGAAGCCCTAGACGAAAGCACATAACGTGAATGGTGCAAATGTTTCAAGAACGAAGACAGGAGTGTTGAAGATCGATGAGAAGATGACCAGACGTTGGGGTCGGGCGTTTTGAGTCAGGATGTATTATCGTATTCGAGGAAACTTTTCACTAAAGCAAAACTTGGAGTCTGAAAGCTTTGTTGGCTAAAACTGGTATCTTATACATAACGTGTCGCAGAATTGTAACTAAAACACTGGAAATGCGGGAACTGAGTAGAAAACGGGTCTCCCGTAAATTTGACTCCAGACCGAATAAAATGCATGTGGTGTATCCTACGTACAATTTAGAAAACTTTAGCCAACAAAAACCTATCTGGAGCATACGGTCGCCATAGACGAGATACGGTCCGATTTCTACAGCCAGTATAAAAAGAACAACGCGAAAGAACTGCTCAAATCAAGTTTGATAATTGAGTCAAGTAGGTTTGGACGTAGAGGCGATCGAAGTACCTGCAGTGAACACCTAGTGCATCCGCTAATATGAGATATTACCCCAAACTGAAACAATGAATGTGGCCTGCCATTTCGGGTTCTCCAAGAGACCCGTGAATTCTCTGAACGGTAATTTAAAGCACACGGTTGAGTTTTCCAGCTTGATCTTATCGTCATGCCTTAATTACTTCCTGGGTTGAGCAAAGGAATATTCAACGTTGGCGTCAATCTGCTTATTCTCCCGATCTAAGTCTGTCTGATTTTGGGGCCTTTCGTGTCCTAAAAACATACCCCACTATTGATTTACTTCAAGAAGCCGTAAGTAGAGAAATCACATATGGAAGTAAATATGTGGCTGCTCAAAAGCTGTCAGAGCATTGGGATGACTGTGTAAAAAATAAAGGACCTCTAACACATATTATTGAAAATCCTCTCTCTAGCCTAACGAGTTTATTCTAATCTATTCAATTTTAAAGCCGTATTTATTTTTACATTTACAAAGATTGGTATGGTACACAATTTCTTCACACTTTTTTCAGGTGTTAAGGATTATGTATCATCCCGGATGGCGCCTAGATGCCCCGTTGTCACTTAGCAATGATTTGGCTTTATTGAAAATCGACCGACCCTTCTTCTTTGATACCCATACTTCACCTGTGTGCCTCCCTATTAGGGAAAGATACTGCTCGAATAATTCCAGCAACAACAGCACTAGTGATCAGTGTTCCTGCATTGTGTCCAACCGAAGCGCAAATGAGATTCATAATGATAATGATATTCGTAACGGAAAGACCAACTCCAACCAAGTTCCTAACGGACCTTCTACCATTAATAGAACACTTTCTATTCTGGTATCTGGTTTTGGTGCCACTCATGAGATAGGCACACCCTCTGACCGGCTCCTCTACACGGAGGTAAGCTTTTATTGAGCATAGATCTATCTCGTGGTTGAATTTCGGGTTGACAAAAATCAACCCGAAATGCAACCCGGAAGTACAACTACAGCTATAATGCTTTTAATGCTAAATATTGCCGGTTGTCAAACGAAACTGGTTTCAGCTATTCCTGATAATTGATGTTTCAAACGCAGTTTTAAAGCATAGTTGTTCGCTTTACTAAGAGATTTACTATAACTTCATTGAGACTGAATAGCATTTTTCTCAGTAATGCATAACCACAGTAATTATTTTTGCATTACAACAATTCGGTTACAAACATTTTTTTGGATAAACGCACGTGATATTTGAAACATGGAAAGATTAATTACTTATTACATGATTCCTACAATGTTACTCACTACAGTTCGAACCCTATCATAATTATATCGATACAGCTTGGTGCTGTTCAACCTTTTCCTTTTAAAAGCCTCGATTTGATCTATATGTAATTATTATTTTTGCAACTCTGCCGTGATGCTTAGGTACCGCAGCTAAGTGACGCCGCCTGCTATAGGGCCTATCCAAGGTTGTTCGACGCGACGACAATGTTTTGCGCCATGGCTGAAGGTGGAGGACGGGACTCATGTCAGGGTGATTCTGGCGGTCCGGCGGTTATAGAATCAAGTTTTTGTAGACGTAAGTTGAAGTTATAGTTAATGGGATATATATAGTTTTTTTTTTACCCAGATAACTTTGAAATCGCACATCACATAGTAAGGTGAAATCTGGTAATAGTGAACGCGTTCAAATTGTTCAAATACCTCTTGTTCAGAGTCAAGGTAGAGCGCCTTGACGACAGGTAAACTTTTTGTAAAAACGCGCTAATTTTATTACGATAAGAATGCAAATTCTGCCTAAGCCCGTAAAAAATTTTGTGCTGTTTATGTTCAAGATACATTACTCCAAGGAAACGAGCCAAAGATATCACTTGTTCTTGAAATGTTGACAGTAGCTCTTTTCGCAGTGGTCAAAAAAAAATTACAAAAAAAAGCTGATGAAATGATTGCAAAAGCTGAGAAAGACCTAGACGTGAGTAGCCGTGATATCGCCACGGGTTACGCAAAAGATTTTACTCGATTGTATTCCCACCCGTAGAACTACAAAGAAACGCAACGAAATCAACCCGTTTTTAAAGAGTATGATAAAGCGAATAATAGACGAACAAGTCATGATCAAAATAGGAAAAAATATTATAATCTATAACGAAGCCCGAACTAACGCCGAAGGAAGTGATTCTATGTGTTTGGTGAAGTAGGAAAGCAGAAAATGTATCGTCTTCGACCATAACCATGACCATGGTCATACGCATATTTAGTTATCCTTTAAAAAAAATTGAGAGATCTTGGATGGGTAAACTTTACTGCTGGCACAACCAGACAGTCAGTCTGTTTCGGTCTGTGCAACAGTTCCCTGAAAAAAAATTTAGTTCCAATTGAGGGATACAAAAATCGATTGTCAGAATTTTTTCGGGGATAAATTACAGAGTTTCTACAGTAATAAGACTATGATACTCTAAAAGGAACATTGCTTAAAAGAATAAAAACTATTTACTAAAATTGCACTTAAATTTGCCAATACTTTTCTGACCACTTAATA